TGCGCTTATTTGAACAATTTATAAAACCATACTATTTAACTAACAATACTTTAATTAACAATATTTAAAAATAATTTAGTTTTTTTAAAATGTTTTGTCCAAATAATATAAAAGTATGAAATATGAAAATCATTTTGAATCTACGATATGTGAAGCATAACTTTTTAAATCGACATGTTGATATTATATAATTAATATGTGGAACTAGCGATATTTAAATATACTATGAAATATCTGAGAATTTTTTTATATATTTTTATATATTCTCTTTTAGAATATTTATTTAACATTTTTTATATATATGTCATTTATATGATTACTATTACACAAAATCAATATTTTAAAATTTATAATTAATTTTTAATTTCTAGTCTAATAAACAAATACTTTATGTTCATTAACATTTTGTGAATAACGTAAGCTAGTAAAATTGAATAGATAAATCTCAATATTTGAGATGTATAATTTTTACATTTCAAAGTTTGCGTTACTGAAATATTTTTTAACATTCTAAAATTAAATGCTGCCATTTTCTTTGAATTTCTTCATGTAAGAATTTGTTATTGTCAATTATTTTAATTTTGTACAGAAGGGAGAGAAAATATTCGTAATTGAATTTTAATGTACACATTATTTTTGTTATGAAGTTTTTAGATTCCTTTTTTAATAATCCATATCATTGTTTTGTTAATACTTTGTTAATGTTTTGAAATATATACATACATAATTTTAATATAGGGACTTGTTGCAACAGTTTTTTCTCTTCGAAATGAAGACGAATAATGGCTTGATTGTTTCTTTTTTTGAAGTAAAATTGATTTTGTAACTATTGTTCATTGTTTCACAATTAATCATTTTCTAAAAATAAATGCGATGTTACAACTTACCAGGTGTTTGGCATTGCTGAATAATATATTTGATAATTTATTTTTTACTCATTTTTAAGATAAATGACGTATTTCTAAGTAATTCTTTTCATAATTGATATAAATAAAATAGTATAGTTTCTTCTGTAATAGAAATTTCTTTCAGAAATCAACATAAACTACAATAAATACAAAGAAAAGATATAGTGTCTCCTGTAATACAATTTACATGTACCCATATCTTACGAACTACTTTTTCCAATCTTCTTTAATTGAATCTGTATACCAGAAAATACAATTTTGCATGTTACAACTAACCTTAAAGTTGTAAACCAGATGCGTTTTTTTACATTAATCAAAATTACTATTTAAACATTTAGCATCCACATAAAATGTTACACATTATCAAAGATTCGAAAACGAAAAGAAATAAATAAAATGTAAAATTAGTCGATAATAATAACGCAAGCCAAATTTTAATATAGTATAATTTTATATTGCCTGATAAAAATGGCGCAGCTGCACACTTTCGTATACAGCCTCATCCTGCGGGACTATAGTTATGACAACATAAATCGGGGTACAAACATGTGCAATCGAGACAAAAAAACATTTTATTATCGTTTAAAATTTATTGAAAAAAGCCTGTTAATACTTACCCTGTTATAATTAGCTTCTAACTCCCCATATGTATTATATGTAAAGGAAATTAATGAAAATTCAATAGTTACTATTAAGGCTATAATCGTTACAATTCTGTCCCCATAGTTTTATTCTTGTTACAATTACTACACTTTACCTAGACTTACTACAAAAACCAACAGATTTGATTAGTAAAAAACGGATGCTAAACAGCGATCAACATATAATATTAATATATTTAGTTACTTTTCAATATGTTTTTAGTATCGCGACTGAATGTAAACTAACTCAAAAATTTAAAATATAGCTTAAAAATTATTAAAACTCTGGAGGGGAAAGTTTACAAATATGAACTTTTAGGTAAACAAATATGAACTTTTAGATAAACAAATATGAGCATTTACATGCACAATGTAGGGATTATCTGTAATCCGTATTAATACGGATGTCTGTAACAAATATTAAACATTTTTTTTAAAGTGTGAATGATGGATTTATAACCAAGATAAATATTTATGCAATAATCGTATTGAATTTGGAATAAGCAAAAAATTAAATAATACGAATTTACTTAGGCCATTGTAGAAAAATATCTAATATGCAAGTACATCCGCTGCCTACTTATAGTAAATTATATAGTAGATAATTATGAAAATATTTAAAACGAATTTTTATAAAAAAATATAATAAAAGATTTTAAAGAAATTGTTGAAAGATTGTTATTCTGGATAATTTTTCGAAATATTTTAAACGTGTTTTTGGTTCTCACCATTTTTGGTATTTACTATTTTCTAAATTCTGATTGATGATTGTTTTATTAGTTTTTGAATTAGTTAATTTTGGCATTCAGAAATGTGATTACTCATAATCATACATTTTAATATATGGAGTGACCGATTTTTCAGATAGTGGATGGTGTTTGCCCCACTTGTGCCGATTGTTATTTTGGATCCTTTTTGAAAATATTTTAAACATGTTTCTGTTTCTCACCTTTTTTTTATTATTTTTTGTATTAGTTAATTTCAAGGATTCAGCAATGTGATTACTGATAATTATTTATTTTAATAGATGGACCGATTATTTGAACAGCGACTTTTTACACCCCGCTTGCTCCGAACACAATGTGTTCAGCATCCAACGACCCGGTCGACATCTTTCTTAAGGAATTCTTAACAGTTACAATTTATACATATTGAAAATTCGCTTAACAAATAAATATGGATTGTTATTCGGATCATTTTTGAAAATATTATAAACGTGTTTGTGGTTCTTCTCACCATTTTTGATATTTACTATTATCTCAATTCTGATTGATGATTTTGTTTAGTTATTGAATTTATAGAAATATATAAATTCAATAAATATATTTCTATGTTTTATAAATATTGTATTAAAAATTATTATTTCAACTATAAATATGTCATGACATGAATAATTGTTTTTATCAAACACTGAAGGCCTCATTGATTCTCACATATAATTTTGGCGTTGCAGCAAAGTCAATATTTTCTTTTTTCAATTCTTGTATCCATGTTCAATCTTCATTGTAGATATCGTAGGTCACCAGTATAGAAATATATAAATTTAATAAAGATATTTCTATGTTTTACAAAATTTGTATTGAAAATTTATTGAAAATGTATTCCCACAAATTAGTTAATTTTAAGGATGTCAAACATTTAGCAATGTGATTACTGATAATTATTCATTTTAATAGATGAAATGACCGATTATTCGAACAGCGACTGTTTGCACCCCTATTGCTCCGAACGCAATGTGTTTAGCATCCAACGACACCCGATCGACATATTTCACAATGAAAATTCACTTAACAAATAAATATGGATTGTTATTCGGATCATTTTTGTAATATTGTAATCATGTTTTTGGTTCTTTTTTTTTTCACCATTTTTGATATTTACTATTTTCTAAATTCTGATTGATGATTTTTTTAGTTATTGAATTAGTTAATTTTAAGGAGACTCAGCAATGTGATTACTGATAATTATACATTTTAATATATGGAGTGACCGATTTTTCAGATAGTGGATGGTGTTTGCACCCCGTCTGCTCCAAACACAATGTGTTTAGTATCTAACGACCCGGTCGACATTTTTCTTAATGAATTCTTAATAGTTACAATTTATACATAATGAAAATTCGCTTAACAAATGAATATGGATTGTTATTTTGGATAATTTTTGGAAATATTTTAAACGTGTTTTTGGTTCTCACCATTTTTGGTATTTACTATTTTCAAAATTCTAATTGATGGATGTTTTATTAGTTTTTGAATTAGTTAATTTTGGCATTCAGAAATGTGATTACTTATAATCATACATTTTAATATATGGAGTGTTTGCACCCCGCTTGCGCCGAACACATTAAGGTGCATCCTCACCCAACGATTGTTATTTTGGATCCTTTTTGAAAATATTTTAAACATTTTTTTGTTTCTCACCTTTTTTCTTTATTATTTTTTGTATTAGTTAATTTCAAGGACTCAGCAATGTGATTACTGATAATTATTCATTTTAATAGATGGAATGACCGATTATTCGAACAGCGACTGTTTACACCTCTATTGCTCCGAACACAATGTGTTCAGCATCCCACGATCGGGTCGACAAATTTTTTAAGGATTTCTTAACAGTTACAATTCATACATATTGAAAATTTGCTTAACAAATAAATATGGATTGTTATTTTGGATCATTTTTGAAAATATTATAAACGTGTTTTTGGTACTTCTCACATTTGATATTTACTATTTTCTAAATTCTGATTGATGATTTTTTTTAGTTATTGAATTTATAGAAATATATAAATTCAATAAAGATATTTCTATGTTTTATAAAAATTGTATTAAAAATTATTATTTCAACTATAAATATGTCATGACATGAATAATTGTTTTTATCAAACACTGAAGGCCTCATTGACTCTCACATATAATTTTGGCGTTGCAGCAAAGTCAATATTTTCTTTTTTCAATTCTTGTATCTATGTTCGATCTTCATTGTAGATATCGTAGTCACCAGTATAGAAATATATAAATTTAATAAAGATATTTCTATGTTTTATAAAATTTGTATTGAAAATTTATTGAAAATGTATTCACACAAATTAGTTAATTTTAAGGATGTCAAACATTTAGCAATGTGATTACTGATAATTATTCATTTTAATAGATGGAATGACCAATTATTCGGACAGCGAATGCTGTTCACACCCTGATTGCTCCGAACACAATGTGTTTAGTATCCAACCATACCCGGTCGACATCTTTCATAATGAAAATTCACTTAGCAATTAAATATGGATTGTTATTTTGGAACATTTTTGAAAATATTTTAAACGTGTTTTGGTTCTCACCATTTTTTGATATTTACTATTTTTTAAATTTTGATTGATGATGTTTTTTAGTGATTGAATTAGTTAATTTTAAGGTGATTCAGTAATGTAATTACTAATAATTATACATTTTATTAGATGGAATGACCGATTGTTCGGACAGCGAATGCTGTTCGCACCCCGCCTGCGCCGAACACATTATGTGTTTAGCTTCGAACGACCCGGTCGACGTCCTTCTTCGGAAGCAGCCACCTTCAGTCACTGCATCTTTCTATCAGAGAGTTAAATTTCTGATAGAAGAAAATTCCGTACAGAGTTATGCTCATATGGATGAATACAGCGAAAGGTACGTATTAAATACTAAAATCCGAAGTTCGGTGTGTACTAAACGTAATTTATATAGTTACTTCTGTGCCGCGTTTATTCAAAGTTTGGTTTTGTATTTGAAAGTAACGTGTGATAAAAAAAATAATTTTTTATTTAAAAATATTGGAAATCATTTGCTTTTTTTATTTTTTTTGGACATTATTGACAGTTAGACAATCATATTAAATATAGATTTTTGTGGATTGGCCAATATTTTTAAATTTAGTTCTTAGTAACTTTTTAACTAATATAGTTGTAGAACTAATATTGAAGTAAATAGTAACAAAATTAACTCGTAATAATATCTTCCGAATACCATGAACAAATAATATTATTGACATGTTTTTTGAATATTATTTGTTGTGCTTCGCGTATTTTCAGATTATTGTAATTTAGGCTTATTTAATATATGAAGAATTTTTAATAGTTTAGTCAGCATAATAGTAGCCCAATCCTAACGCAAAATATAATTAAAAAAATATAAAATATTAAAGTATGCTGAATAAATTATTGATTTGTTAATTAACAATAAGTATTTTTAAAATGCACTCAGGTATTTGACCACATGTGCTTTCTGTATGCACTACGCACTGAAGTATTAGAATATCAATATTATATAATTTTTTTCTTGTACATTACAGTAGTTAAACTATAGCTAATTTTTTTTCAGGATCTTGTTAGATGCATTTCTGATTTTTCAACATTTTGATTTCAGTGCGTGGTGCACACCATATTTATAGCAGCCCTTTTTTTCATTTCTACGAGAAGTTTATCGACGCAAATGCAAAATATAATCGATAGAAAGTCCCTTCTCCTTTCCTTAAACCATTCCATCGAGTAAAAGGTTAGGTCGATACTTAAATTAACTTTTGTGATCCTGAACTTAATTACAGTCAATATTTCAAAAGTGTTATTAGTATCGCCTGATTTTTTACTAGTGTTTGTCTAATGTTGAAATACCACCTCTGTGTTCGTCTGTAACCTATGTCTGTGGATCCTCAAACTAACAAAACTATAAGTTAAATCAAGTTTGGTAAATGTCTTGAATTGGTTTAAACGTTTGAGCCCGTCTAATGAAAATGATGTACTGTTACATTTATTAGATCCGATTTGTTTTTGATTGACTGCTTCAGAAGTCGCACGAATTTGCAATATCAAAAATAAGCTATTTCATTATTTAAGACATTGTTTATTTTTATTTTTCTAATTTTTGTTTAAATTCCTAAAAATGGAACAAAATTCTTCATTTTTTCTACACTTTAACAACAATTGTTTATAGCGATTTATTGCTAAATATTTTATTTTATAATGCGTAAACTTGTTAGAATACTTAGTTACAATAATGGCTATTGCACATGGTTAAAATAGTTCAAAAGTATTTTGTTCTATAGTTACTTTTCCAAGGCTTAATTTGTTTTATTATTGTACTAAACATAGTATTATCACATGACTTGCCTTATCATTTGCGTTTATGGTAGACACATTACATTTAGTATTTCTATTTTTTATTAAATTTTTATTTTGATATGTACCTCCAATATTATACCTCAAATATAAAAAGAGTGCAATATGCAAATTTTTAAAATGTGGCAAAATTTATTAACTTAGTAGAAATTTATTTGAAATTTTTTAATATTTTATTAACAACATTGACACTTATCATTGGAGATACATGCACTAATCTATTAATTAGTGGCAGACACAAAAACGCTTTAAATTAGCTTTAATTTCCTTCACTAAAAATTATTTGGTACATAAACAAACATTTTTTATAATAAACTCGTGATGTGGTAATGAAAACCTACTATTGTAATGGGTTGAAATCATATTTTAAATATTATTAAAAGAATTATTTTGAATATAATGTTTTAATTATAATGATACAATTGAATGAAAATATTAACAAGTGCCATTGTTGGAATGGCCAAATTTTAAGTGTCTACCACTAATATGAATGTAGATGGATTATTCAATTTGGCGTACATTGTTTACAAAGTTTTTGCTTTTATAGCATATTTTTAATTATAAAAGCAAACTGCAGTTATGATAAGTAGCAATTCTAGAGCGAATGCTATAACATGTTCGCCAAAATCTGGACCTTAACATCCCTGTGTACTGTTTATTCCCAAATTTTTTTTTTATTAATTTAGCTAACTTAACTGCCCATATGTGTGATTACAATGTTTAAACTGTGGAAGTCTGTTAATCATGTGTTGGTTATTTTGTTCTTCTGTGAGCCTGAAATCTCATTGATTCAAACTATTTTACAATGAGATGAATTAATAATTGCTAATCACAATACTTACACACACGATTAAAAATATTTTTAATAACTTCGTTTTATTTATTCTTTGCGTTTTATTATATGAGTTTTACCAATTTCATTAGAGTGAAATTGCCTTATGCAAATTGAAGGGTAATTTTATACCCGCGGTGTAGTTTTGCAATACTTGACTAAATTATTTTTGAAAATTTTTAAATATTGGTGCGACATTGTACGCTGACATTGAAAACCACATTTTTACATAAAATAAATTCTCAGTAAATTGTAGATATAAATCTAGTATTATTTCTGAAATAATGTAATAAACTTGGCATTATCAATTTTTTTTAGAACTTGATAATTATACAATTATAAAAAAATTAAATACTTTTATTAGGGTCTATGGAAAATCTATGTATATATGGGCCAATTCTGTGATACAGGAACGATACTTTATGCTTGTTTTTTGGCAAAAAAAACTGTAAAAATTAATAAAAATTACATATAAACATATCAAGAAAGAATATTATTTTAACTGTATCTTTATGATGCGCATTTATTTATAATATACGTTTTTATGATAGTAAAACGCCTGATTGTACAGCAATTAGATAGACCTTTTCACAGTTTTTAATACCAAGAAACAAGCATCACATAGCGTTGCCATAACAACTCTGTTATCGGTTGTGTTATCGCAGAAAATTGGCCACATAATATATACAATTATATAAAAACATTTCTTTGGGAAAACAAATTATTTCAAGGGAAACATTGTGTTTGATATAAATTTACGATTTATTTTTTCCTATCCTATATTCCCTGTGAGAGGATGTCGGCGTGCGTGTTTGCCCAAAATAAATCTGTTCGTGTTTTTGATATTGCAAATAAAGCACGAACTATCGGACTAATATAAACGGACTTCAGAGGTGACACAGACTGTGCAAAAAGTTGAGAAATTATTCGAAAAAAAATTTACAAAATTTTGTAAGAAAATTGAATTGAGGTATCACATAGAAACTTGTCGACGATTTCTTACTTTTTGCACAAATATGCTTTTTATTTATTTTTATTCATCATCGATTTTTCTCAAACAAATACTCCTCTATTTTTCTAGAGAAAATTGATATTGATTTTTCATTTATATTTTTGTTGTTAATGTAACCTACATAGAAAAATATGAAAAAATAGTAAAATAAATAAAAAATAAAATAAAAAGAAGTAAAGTATATCATAATGTGCTATATTTTTTTCTTTCGATGCCATTCGATGTGTGGAGTAGGTAATTTGTGTTTAGTAACTTTTGTCCTTGTCTCTTTGTATTCTGTCCTCCTCGTGCTGTTTTGGCGTGTCTCGACTGCTCAACCTCACAATCCGACTCGTTAGCGAGTTTTGGAACTCCTTTACGCCGTGGTAAGTCGCAGCCCGTCTTCCCCACAAACAAAACACGAAATCCCAAATTCCTCTTGAACCATTTTAAACAGAACTTTAGAAACACAAACAAATGATCACATTTATACCAACTTGCGCCTTCCACTTTCACAAGCATAGATAATCAATCAAACCCATCACAAATTGAATGGCTTTTGGCATCTCTCATATTCTCCAAAAACAATGACTGCTGCATTACATCTGTGATTCTGTAATCAAAATCAGTAATCCATAATTTTCATTCCAATTTTTGTTAGTATTATATTATTTGATTCTGTCGTAAAATAGACCAATGTTTTATGGCAGAACGTTACGGTGCATTTTTTATATAAAATGTTACTAAAAACTGTCAAAGTGCTATCTATGTACTTGCTTGTCCGATCAGGCGTTCTACACGTAAGAGGGCCAATTCTGTGGTAACCTAGTCGATCTTATAGCGTCTTTATGGCAACGCTATCTTTTTTCATTTTTAGTACTGATATCTGTAAAAATGTTATCTTTTTGCCGAAATTATTTTGACAAATTGCAGTTTGATTGCAGTTATGACAACTGCATCTTTGTGAACCGCGCTTATAACATACGGTTTTGTATGTAGAGTACAGAAAATAGATAGCATTTTTATATTATTTTAGTACCAAGACATATATAGTTGCCATAATACGATTTTATATTATTTTAGTACCAAGACGATATGTTATCGTCTATGTTACCGCAGAATTGTCCCGAAAATTTAATTGCATGTATTATTATGGACACATCAAAAAGATTCACTTTGAAGTTTGTACGTTTTGTAGGTTTGGTTTTATACAACGACCTCATAGCATTTTGACAGTTTTTAGTACCATTTTATATAAAAATCGTAGAGTAACATACCCTTTCCCTAACTATTGTACGGCAGAATTGGCCGGTATTTTTATCATTCACAAATCATTTTATCGTTAATTTTTGAGAAATGTATAAGCCATTCAAATCAAGATTTATGCAAGACTCTCGGGCAACATCATATGCTTGGTTTTACACACAAGTTTGTTTCGATAATATGATCTTGCATAAATTCAATATATGTAAACAAAATCATTTTAATATATTCTACGTGTTACGTGTTACTGTGTTATACTCCATCTGTGTTGCAATCCTGTCCAAAAATATTTTATGTTTGTGCGTGTTCGTCTTGATATGATAGTAGAATTTTTAATAATATATAATTTTGATAATTTTATTATTTTATTCGTATAGTGGTTGACACTTACTATTGTAATGGTCACATAATTTTATATTTTATTTAATTTTTTACAAAGTTTGCTTGTGTTCCATTCCTCAATATGTTTCGTTAATTATGTGTTTCTATACTATATCTGTTGTGCTTGTACATACAATTAGATTGTAGATAACTTACAAACAGCCCAAATGTCTGAATGTAATGCTTTCTATCATTGCGGTAGTTCATGGATGTATATGATTCAAGTATATGTCTATGATTATTAGTTTTTGTTTTTAGTTTACAGATACACCACTTATTTAAATAGTTACTATATCTATTTATTTTTAAAGTTTTTATATTTTACTAAACTTAATACAGAACAATTCAATATGTATATGGGACCCTTTGTAATTCCTGTTGTCTGCGTCTATCATTGTTATCCAACTTTCTCTCCTCTGTTAAAAAAATATCCTGTCTATCCTTGCCCTGATATATAATGTCAAGCCCTGCCTAGCTGATTAACCAGGACTCACTCAACATATGTATATATATATATATATATATATATACAGGCAACCAGTATATATAGCATATGTATAATAATGCCTTATACTTGCATCTTGACTACATAATATTGTTCAAGCACTATTATCAGTTGTCTATGGAAAGGTATTTCATTTAATGTATACGAGTACATTATAAACAAAAGTTCAATATTAAAATATTTTCTAAAAGTTCATACATTATAAACAAAAGTTCAATATTAAAATATTTTCTAAAAGTTTGAATCTTGAATAAAAATTTTACGTAACCAACAGATCTGGCCAGGTTCAAATAGGTTTCTGTAGAAATTATGTATAAGTTAAGAATGAAAGTATAAATATTGGTATTTAAATAGCGAAATGCAATAATAATAATAACATTCTTAGGCGATTTACATTTAGACTAGGAATTTTATATTTATATGAATCTACATATTTTAAATTGATTTTGTTGTTTGGCAATTTTTATTTGTATTTTATTACAAAGTTTTTCTCAATAAATAATAATTATTTTTTTTAGATCATTTATGTTCAATGTTATTAATGTATGAATTTTTAAAATATTTATTTAAATTCGTCCTTTGATTCGATTTATTTAAATTCGCACGGTGATTCGATTTGTGAAATATTGTTCGTTATTTTATTATGTATATTGAGGTCATATGTATTCGAAAATTGTCGAATATTTCTTCTTCTAGTGTTTATTTTAGAATTTTAGTATAATCTACTGAAATACGTCGAGAGCTAAAATCTCATAATCGAAATCTTTTTCCATAATGTTGTGTGGTTATTTTTCACAGCTGCTAATTGATGTTGAATAATTGTAACGATATTATTTTCAATTTTTCCGAATAAAAACTAATTTTGAAACCAAACATGATTGAAATTGACTTTTATGATTCGATCCCCATTGGTTTTTTAAATTTGGTTTTTTTAGAGTAATATCTAGCGCTCAGGTCAATTGCTGCCAGAATGTGGTCACAAAATTATTTTTTCAAGATTTGTGATACCATTTTATGAAATTTATATTACTTTTTTTTACAAACCACCAGAAACTATAATGTTCAATATTTGTAATAAAATATTAGTATAATAAATTAAATACTTTTCTGACAACTTTAGCACAACATATACTATAGTTAAATGCGGTTTTGAAACATCATTGGTAAAACCAGTCGTATCATGTCTTGCCACCATTTTTAAATTTAGATATAAAATGTTATACATATCGAGTCGGTTTTCAATTTATTAAATAATTTAAAAAATAAGTTTTGAATTAATATTCCTACTAATTCTCTTGTACATTGCTTCAATTTGAGTAAGGATTAACTTCGCTGATTTTTCAATATTAAGGAATTGCATATTTTAAATACTATGTTATATATTATTCATAAAAGTGAAATCAAATACTCAGTATGCATTTGCACGCATTTAAACTATATCTGCACGAGTTCAAAGTTCAACAATATAAATTAAATATTCTACTAAAATATTTGCCTGGATAATTATATTCATATGTAAATAAAAATATTTTTTTATGAACATATGAACTATTTTTGGAAACTGAAATGATTATTTGTTCTGTAAATATTATTATTTACATATAACATCGAGCACGCTCCTGTATATTAAATTGTTTAACATACCATTTTGATCAGGTTCTGTAGTTAGTCACTTAATATTATTAAACAACAACATTATTGCTTGTGAATATATGCTTAAGTGTCAACATTCTTAATGTTAAAAAATTGCCATCGATTTTCGTTGTTTGGTACAGATAGAGATATTTTGAAAAATATTTCACTATAATTTATTTTGAAAATTGAGTTTATAATAATTCTGAAAGAAATGAACAAAACGCTATTCAATTTTTTGTTAATTCGATTTTAAAAAGTTGCTACGTAAGTAGACGTTTGAATTCAAATTTTTGACCACTTTCTGTCTTCAATGTGAAAAATGTTCTGATGTAAATGCTCTTCAATATCAGATTTTATTACAAAAGAACCTAAGTGTTTTTAAAAATTTCGATTCTAATATGTCGATTCAATCATAGCTGTACCAAGTAATTTTCATCGGTACTTTGCTATATAAAAATATCATAGAAACTTAAATTTATATTGTATGTACTATTACAGCCGTGTGTCCGTAATGCGGGGTCAAGTCGTGACTCCTCAGGGTCTTGGTATTGTCGGAATAAGGGTCTCGGTTGATAGGGACTCGAGATTCGGATTCACATTGACCCGACAAGGAGGATGGTAAGCTAATAACTTATTTATTTATTGATATTAACCTTTTTGCTACGAGCGTCGTCTATAGGCGACATGTGCTTGAGGACCTCTTTGTACTAGTGTCGCCTATAGACGTCATTCAGTATGCCGACTTTTGCTTCAAAATTAATGAAATTATTTGAAACTCTATTTTGATATTATGATTTTTATAATAATATTTTTTAATTTTGAAATATATTTTTATGCATAATTATTGAAATTTTTTAAAATATGTTACAAAAATATATAACAAATACTTGGGCGGCTTGTTGGCCAAAAATACTGCGGAAAATAGTCGTTCACTAAAACAATTAGAAATATCGAACATTATACTTAAGAAAATAATAATGGTGGTTTATACAGTGTAGTGCTTGCAATACAAAGTTTACTTCTTTTTTAAATCTTTATTATAAGGGTAACCAATTTATGACACAAATAGTTTTTTGTTGAGAAGCTTAAATTTTGTTCATATATTTTTGTATGTTGATATATCAGATACTTATGCTACGCCCCTTAAACATTGTGTGTATAAAAGCATAATTATTTTAAATAATTATGCTTTTATATGCATATAAATAATTCATTTAAGAGCAAAAATTAGATTTTTTTCGCGTTGGCCCTAAAATTTTTCATTTGTCTGCATTCAATGTTGTTAACAAAACTATTAATAAAATTTTATAGATAATTAGTTCTTTATAACAAATTATTTCTTACATGCTATTTTAATATAATTAAAAAAACTATTTATTTTAGTAATATGAATTTTAATGAAAAACACGAAAAACCTTTATATTCTTCATTTGTAATATATCTAGGCTATATTAATTTCTGCACAAACATCAAGTTTAGGGCCATTTTGAATTTTTCTTCTCGGATTATACTTAATTAAACCTAATAATAATTAGGATCCGGCTCGAAGGACCTATGTCGAGGATGGGGTTTGTTTAGACCCTTTCGGAGTAGCTTATTGTATATGTATAAACCGACTACTATTATGAGCTATATAAATTGACATGCATAATTTTTACCAAGGCTTTTTCCTTCTATGTTAAAAGAAGCAATGATTTTAATTTTTTTATTTGCTCAACTTTATATAAATGTTATGCTTTAAAAATTTTGACGGTTAAAGCAGGAATTGCCATTTTTGCATATTCTAAGTTGTCACTATCATATGAGTTAATTGGAATACATTTTTTTGATACACAGCAATTATGTCTTATTCCACATTATAAAAGGATAATTATTTAGTAGACACTATTCTTTTATTATTTCTGGTTTCTAAAAACTTGTTTCTTTTTCGCTCTAAAATGTATTACATTTTTTTGTGTTTAAGATTTTTATAGCTTCTTATGTCTTAAAAAATATTTTAATATAAGAATAAAAACGACTCCTTTAGAAATATTGTTTTTAATGACAAACGTTAAGAAAAGTAGTTATTGATAAGCTATTGATCTTGGCTTCATCATATAACCAAGAAATGTAATGCCATTTTAGTTTCTATATTAACCATATTTGCTTATATAATTTCAAGTGCGGATTTTTAGTTTCATGTTGAAAAAGCGGTGATTTTTATTTTAACCATTACAAGTTTTTGCTTGCTATCATGTTCAATGAAACTAAAAATTGTCTATATCTCATTTCATATTAAATATTTTATATTATAAAAATGCATCAAAATTTAGTAGTAATATAAATTGTATAACGAGAAGCATGAGAAGTTATACAATACGCAATTTTGTATTGATATTGACTCTATCATATACCCAAGAAATGCAACTTTTCTTTTCTAAAAATACTCAATTAATCCCAATAATAATTAGGAACCGGCTCGAAGGACCAATGTTGATGATGGGTTTCGTTTCGATCTTTAGCATTAGTTTATTGTATATTACCTAAATGCCACCCCGAGGAATATGAATTGACAAATGTCTTTTTTACCACTGGCCTTTTCTTTTAATGTTAAAAAAAGATATGAGTTTCATGTTTATATTTGCTCAACTTTATATAAATGTTTTAGTTTGATATTTTGAAGGACCAAAACTGAAATTTACTTTTTTGTGTGTTATAAGTTGCCCTTATTTTATGAGTAAATTCAAATCTACATAGCAATATTATCTTACTACAATTTGTGCAAATGAAGCATAATTATTTAAGAGGCACTGTTGTCTTATTTCTACTACGTTTCTGAAACTTTTATTATTTTTTCTTTGGCTATAAAAATTGCTAATTTTTTTTTTGCTTAGAATGTGTTCAGTGAAACTATTAATAAAATTTTCTAGTTAATAAGTTTTATATAACACATTAATTCTTATATATTTTAATGTAACACTAAATTTTAATAAGAAACGTAAGAAAGATTTATGCAATTTTGGTATTAATATTTGACCCACCATAAAATTAAAAAATGTTACGCCATTCTAGTTTCTAAATTAACGATATTGACTATACGTAATTTTTACCAGAGCCTCTACCTTTTATTTCAAAAGGAGAAATGATTTTGATTTTTATTTGCTCAACTTTATATAAATTATTTGTTTTAATATTTATACGTGTTACTCTTTCATCATAGAAATTTTATCTTAATCTTAATCAAATATTAATATTTTTATAAAAGTTTCACGGCATTATTTTTAATTTGTGCTAATTGTATTAATTGAATATTTTTTTATGTGATCATACTTATTAAATTTAAAATTCTCCAGAATATATCGGATATGAACACGTGTCACAGTTGCATTATGATAGCACACTTTGTAATTTTTTGATTATTGCTGACTAATATATTTCTTATATGCTCAATTAAATTTGTAACCACGCGTTAAATAGGTACATTAACTGTTGCATTTGAAAAAAAAATGTTATAGGTATTAGTACTTAAGTATTTTTTATAGTTTCTCTCACAATTCGCAGATTAGTTTTTATGTATTCGAGTTATTGTCGAAACAAATTTTATTAACTTTTTTGTCATTATTATTAGCAAGTTTGCGCAGAAGGTTTATGCAGTCTATTTTTATCAGACATCTATTAACTGATATTTTTATTATAAAATTATTTATCAGGTTCGACGTCTTGGTTAATGGAGGAGGTGCTGTAACGTTGCAATTTCAACGTTCTCCATTCCGACCTTTGACCAGAACTGTATTTGTGCCCTGGAATCAAATTGTAGCTTTACCTACTGGTATGTACTTATATATAGATACAAAATTTTATTTATAATTTTTTTTAATAATTCATATCGATTGATTGGTTTAAAACGTGAAAAAAGGGAACATATAAATTACACGCTTCATGCATATAGTATATCGACTTGTTTTAAATAGCCCGAAGGCCTTTTTACTAGTATACAGTATAATAGTTTTCAATTTTTGTACAATGTATTTATAATACCTACATAATAATAATTTTTATGTCGAAAATGTGTTTATAATTAGCAAATGTTTGCTAAAAATTACAAAACACCTTGTTATTAGTTTGTTATTTTTTACTGTTAACTGTTATCAAATCAACTTATCGCAAAAATGGAAATTTTAATATTAATAATTTTGTTTATTTTGGCAAAGCTCAATTTTCCTCATTTTTTATCTCAATTTTCCCCGTTTTCAAAGATATATTTTGTATTAATAAATTTCTTGTAAGAACTTCATGAATTCTGTAGAAGTAATTTTAGTCGTAGGTGAAGTACGGACTAAATGTGATGGTGTTTTATTTTTTAATGGTATTTATTTATTGAATGATATTTTATAAGCAATTTAAAAGTTTTTACTTGTCTTTGGTTCATTGACTACCAGTAAAATAGTATTTTTGTTAAGAACTAACATTTTTATTAAGGAAAAATGCAACCTATTATGTTACATCATTTTGTCTATATTTTAAGGACATTATGGCAAATATGGTGTTTTTTATAATATTGTATATAATTTAGCTGAAGGACCACTTATGATTGCTTATATAATATAATACGATTTTAAATATAATTTAAATTACTGATTTTATTCAACGTAATTACAAATTTTATCTGGTTTTATAATATTCTAATATAAATTGTTGGCTTGATATTATGATTATGATACGCAGTTGTGTTTTTTGTTAGATGTTCTTTTATTTACATTCACAATGTCATATAACGTCGATGTTTTAATTTGACGTAAACATAGAGTAAGGACTGAGATGCTAACTTTTAAGAAAGCAGTTCACAAACAAGTCGAAATAACACTGTTATTTTGTTCATTGTATATATAAGTATGTCATTTTGTCTGAAATTGATCAATAATGAATAAACAAAAATCTACTAAACGTCTGATTGATTATAGCAATAAAATTGATCTATTCACTAGTGCTGACATAATTGTTAATTGATTTTAGCTGAAATAATTACGAATATCAATAAATGAAAAAATGAACTTCTCAGGTTGCAAAACGCGTTTATACTGATTACTGCGAATAGTACTGTGATAATGACGATCAACATCTGACAGGATTGTTATTATGGCTTCCCGCATGTTATACAGTCGCGGAAACGTTAATAAAACTAGCCAATTTTTCAATAAGTTCATTTTGACCATTTATACCATTTTGCCCGTATTTATCCTAGAAGTTATTCACGATTCTTTTAATTGATATACAGTGCGAAGTATGAATCTAATAAATATTTTTTATCCCTAAGAATTTTATTTTTGTTTATTTTAGTCCATATGCAATTAAACGAAGAAACACCAAACGGTATACCGCCAACAGTACCTAGTCCAGCCTTTAGTTTCTTAAGTTTGCCACATTACCTGCCCGGCCAAGGGCAAGGTGCTTCTTGCGCCGCCCACGATCACGAATTGTTGAGGCCGAGAATAGCGGCCACTTGGATGCCTCATGCTGTTGGAGGAAAACCTGGAAAATCGCTCGTTTTTGCCGAAACACAGGTGAAAAAAAACTTTTTTGCACTCTTTATATTAATATGATACATTTTGTAGCAATTTATATATAATGGTGCCAGAAGGATAACTGATTGTACCCGCTCTTTACTATATGATACAATTTGAAGGATATTATTTAGAATATTATGCTCGTCTTTAGAATAGCATGCTCGTCTCTTCGGATGGTTAAACGAGTTATTTTTGAACAAATTATTTGTCAGTTGTTTTTTTTGGTAGAGAATAAACTGGGACTTTACTATACTCGTCTCTTCAGATGCTTGAACAGATTATTTTTAAGCAAATCATTTGCCAGTTTTTTTTTTGTTTCTTGCATTTGATAGAAAATAAACTGATTTGTTGTTTAATTGTGGTGTCTTACACATCATTGTGTAACAGGCCTAGGAACACATTTGAGTTTGTTTTTAATTCATTTTAAACTTTTATTTTCAAATTTTTGCAATATTGTTATTTTTGACTCGGCTGCCACCATCTAACGTTTTTGTTTTTGTGCATCAATTGTAATATACCAAAAATTTGATAGTAGTTTAGTTTTCTTTGTTAACTTAACCAGATGTTTCTCATAAAATATTACTTTGATGATAACTTATTTTGCAGTATTACAATAAGCAATTGCTATTTAATTAAAAATTGAATTGAATAATTGGGTGAATGATTTCATTAAATTAATTACAAATACTACGTTTCTGATGACCATAAAATATTTTTTAACTTTTTGTTCAAGTTATTTTGCTTATATATTACCTAAACTTTTGAAGCCCTTAATTTGAAATAAATATATGCCCTTTGATTCTCTGAATTCATGAAATAATGTGTTTACATTTTTCTTACAGTAGTCTTATAGTAACTTTTTGGCTTGCAATTAAATCCATTGAATTGGTTTTAATAAATACCTCTTTTCTGGTGTTTATTTGAAAATACATACCTTCGGATATTTTAAATTTTTGATTAAGTTATTCAACTCATATTTATAAGAATCTATTGTTAATTTGAAATGAATTTATCATTTTTGGGAATTCATAAAACGAGCATTTGTTTAAAATATGCATAACAGTCATACAGTATCCTTTTGATTTGTTATTACTAAATTCATATAAAACTAACGTTATTTGCTATTTTGAATAAATAACATTAGATATTTTAACTTTTTGTTTGATGATAACTTATTTTGCAGTATTACAATAAGCAATTGCTATTTAATTAAAAATTGAATTGAATAATTGAGTGAATAATTTCATTAAATTAGTTACAAATACTACGATTCTGATTATTATAAAATATTTTAACTTCTTTTTCGAGTTATTTTGCTCATATATTACCTAATCTTTAGAAACCCTTAATTTAAAACAAATATATGTCCTTTGATTTTCTGAATTTATAAAATAATGTGTCTAATGGTTTGAATTCATCATAGTAGTCTTACAGTAACTTTTTGGCTTGCAATTAAATCAGTTGAATTTATTTTAAATACCTTTTATGGTGTATATTTGAAAATACATACCTTCGCTTATTTTAAATTTTTGTTTAAGTTATTCAACTCATATTTATAATAATCTATTATTAATTTGAAATGAATTTATCATTTTTTCGAATTCATAAAATGAGCATTTGTTTACAATATGCATAACAGTCATACAGTATTCTTTTGATTTGTTATTACTACATTCATATAAAACTAACGTTATTCGCTGATTATTTTGAAATAAATAACATTAGATATGTTAATTTTTTGTTACAGTTATTTAACTTGTATCTTTATCAATCATTTCTTACTTTGCATATATGTCTCTTGATTCTCTGAATTTATCTGAACTTTCTGATTTACAGTTGATTTGATTCGTTGGAAAAACAACTTTTAAAATAATTATTCTCAAATATACTCGAGTTATTTGTAATTTAGTAATCTACTGATATAAAGCTCAGCTCTTTTGAATCTCTGAATTTATGAAATATGTCAAATATGTCTGAATGTATGATAAGCATAAGTAACCTTACAATAACATTTTGATTAGCCGTTAATTGAATTGAATTGAGTTAAAAATTCTGCGATTTACAATATATTTTAAAATGTATATCCTTGTATATTTTAACTTTTTGCTGTAGTCATTTATCTCATATATTTAATAATCTGGTCTTAGTTTGCAATAATTGCCTTTTGATTCTCTGATTTTACAAAATAAATATATTGGTTCACAATATGCATAGGAGAGTAACTTTTTGATTATTCATATAATTGAATTGCGTTACATTTTTTTATTATTTTATTGACTTTGTATACGAGTGCATTAGTCTTATACACCTTATCAATCGATTTTATGTTATTGGAATGGATATAAGTATATTGCGCACCATATATTCCTTTTTTAGTCAACAATATTATGAATTTTTCAATTTAGTTGGTTCTTTTGAAATACACACATTCGGATATTTTAATTTTTAATTCGGTTTATTTATCTCACATACTCAGAAATATGTCCTTAGTTTGAAATAAATATCAGATTTTTTGTCTCTGAATTTATAAAATTAATCTAATTCCTGACATGCAACGGACGTATTTCGTTAACTTTTTGATTTGTCGTTAATTTAATTGAATTCAGTAGAAAAAACTGCTCTTAAAAAAATATTTTAAAATTTATATCTTTGAAAATTTTAACTTTTTGTTTCAGATCTTAAATTCTTATATTTAATAATCTGTCCTTAGCTTAAATAAAATATCAGCTTGTTGAGTTGTGAATTTATATAATTATCTAATTGATTATATACATAAGAAATTTTACAAAGTTTTTCATTTGCCGTTAATTTAATTGAATTTAGTTTAAATGACTGATTTTTTTTAAATTGCATATCTTTTGATATTTTAAACTGTGTTTCAGTTGTTTAACTCGTATATTTAGTACTTTGTCTTTAGTTTGGAACAAATATGAGCATCTTATTTGTATTCATAAAATATGGCCGATAATATGCATGAGGAATCTTACAATAACTTTTTGATTTGCTGTTAATTTAATTGAATTCAGTCATAATGATTATTTTAAAATACATTTATTCAGACATTTTAATTTTACTCGCACTATTTATCCGTTATATATTAGGAAATCCATTTTAAATCCTCATATGTTCATGTTTTTTTTTAATTCAGAAAATATATTATGTAATATGTCATAAAATTCACTAAAGATGGGCTTATCATATCCGCGTTCGGTTAGAATTTCACTCCGCTTCGGAAAGGAGTTATATCCACTTAACAACTCCGACACCTTCAAAATCTAATATTTGACACAAATGTGCTCTATAGCGTGTTGTTCATACGTATAAAGATTTATTAAGTATTTGGAAAACGTTCACAAACAGTTCAGAAATTTTTGTTTATTTTATTACAAAAATTATTATTTTATACATTTCTTTTCGGATATTTTTCAGAAATATTAGGGTAATTCTTCTGCTATAAAGAGTCAACTAGGCACCAAACAATGAATAAGAATGAATAAATGTCAATAAAATAATAATTAAAAAAAAAAACAATAAATGTTGTCTTGTACAAATTTTTGTGAATACAATAGATTATATTTTTTGCAATAATGATCAAAGAAAAAAACCGAAAACTTGAGAAATAATAGAATTTCTTGAATTTTTTTATATTCATATAAAATGAATACTGTAAACTTTATGTATGAAATAAGAACAAATCTTTATTAATATATGTATAAGGTTTTTTGCGAAAAATAAATACCTCACATTCTCTTATTATTTTTATTTTGAGAAATAATTGTATATAATGACTCATGTAGTTCCATTAGCATACTATTACTTTTATATAATTACAAAATTTACAATTACAAAACAGATTTAACACCAGTTTAGGTAAGTCGGATATGTCAAAATCTCCGATACAACTCCGCTCGGATTCACTCCAAGAGACGAGTTGTATCGGAATGATAACTCCGAAGTGAGCACAATAAGAAAATCACTCTCTATGTATTTCAAAGTTTAATTATTGATGAAAGCACATGACTCGTAGAATAATTTTGCACTAATTACAAGTTACACTTTTATAGAAACATAGAAATTCAAAGTTTAATGTAGCTCAACCTAGAATATTTTTTGGTATTATCAAATATCTGCTTATATTTTAATTAAGTATTTGGCAATTTCAAAACCAGTGTTGTAAAATATATAAAATTATCCAAGAATCTTGACTTGTTTTTCAAATACGTTTTTATGCAATATTGTAATGACACTTCATATTTTCGAATTTACAATTGTAAAAGAGAGATATTATAACTTGCTAGCAACATTGTAAGATTGTGTGGTTTATTATATATCAATTTCATTTTTATGTTTGCTCAATTTTGTGATATAAATTTTAGTATTCGAATTATTTCAGAAGACTTCAGAAGACTGAAGCCATCTAATCTGTTGTGTTTGAAGACGCTTCCTTGTCTTGATAAAATAAATAAATTAATATTAAATAAATTTCATTATTTTCAAATAAACTTTTACATTTGACTTAATTGTTTGTTTAAGCACCCTGACATGAAAATAAATCTGAATATTTATCAGAACCACGTCAATAGCGTTTACTCTTGGCACTACTATTTATTTCTTTGCATGTTTTAAATTACATTTTTTTTAGCTTTATTGAATATTTTTTTCGAATATATTTTAATAATGAGTTTTTATCATCTTTAATAACACAAAGTATTTACTGTTTTTAGGAAGATTGATTATGATGACACATATTTGGCATAAAATTAATTTATTATTTTACTAGTATTTTTAATTAAGTTAAGTAACTGTAATGAATAAATTTCAAATTATTATTTATGTTTTTTTAAACAATCAGATTGATTAGTTTAAGCTTAATTTAATTGATCTGAAATTTTGTGCTCATTGAATCGTTTTGGTATATGTTTAGAAGTAGATCTTTTTTTAACCAACTCGGTGTATATTTAGTTTATAATTTTTCTAACTCATTTTTTGCCCATTGTCATATTGCTTTTATTTTTTGATCCGCATTAGTACATATATCAAATATGTACTCTCATCAGACTGGAATTACAGTATTGCTAGAACTATTTTTTTACAACAATTCTAATAGTAATTTTATTCAATATTCTTGCAACAAAGCTCAAAACACGTTCACATTCTCTGATTTTTCACATATGTTAAAATCTTTAAAAACTGTATAAATTTATTTTATTCGAATGAGAATTGTTCGATTTTCATATACATAAAAATTAAAATCGGAAATTTATATAAACATTACAACACATTTGTTTCTATTTAAACTACTTTGCTTTCTGTTGAACTTTATTTATTTGGTGTGCGTCTTTATGGTGTAACTTTTTTATTTGAAACAAAATTCAAATATTTTATTTTAGGAGCAGCATAATTATTATTGAATTTAAAACAATAATTAATAAAAAAATAGTCGCAATGACTATATCCTTGTTTTTTTCCCTGTAAAGTTTTAATTATATGTGCCATTTATGTCTCATCACTTCTTTTAACATTAAAAAGTGTTTATATATATTACAGTTTCGAAAATTATGCTATCTATCTATTTTACATTTTTTAATTATTATATGTAAACACCATCTGAACGCAAAGTTTTCAATAAGTTATTATGATACATTTTATTATACATTACAAATCAATCAATTTTATGCAATAGTTCTCGTTCTCGTCCATAGTAACCCTAAAACAAAACATATTCATAAAAGATACTTTATTTTGTTTCGGGTGTATATATTTTTCTTATTTTATCAAAAATTTTAGATTTTGAATATAAAATACTTATTTAGACTGTTGTTTGTAGTCCTCCGTTTATGAGCTGGTTTAGATTTCGTTCTTATGCTACCTAAATTTATTCATTTACGAAATGAAGGTCGTTCAGAGAAGTATCGTAAAACTTTTTTCAATGAATTTAATTAGCCACCTGTTTACGAATTAGTCTTATTATTACTACTAATAATCGGAGTATTCTCATAGAATAGCTGGTAATTTTATTATCTCAGAATCCATTATCGCAAATTTCATTTATTACAATTTATGTATTCTATTTTTGTAAGAGGTTTATATGATAGTCAAAATGCGATATGCATATTTCAAATATTGTACAATTTTTTTTCTATATTTGGCTTCAGATTGTGCAAGAGTCGATACCCATTCCTGGTTCTGGTCTGCATCTCACTTATCAATCATCCAGTGCTGCTGGGTATCTGAGTGCTGTTAGGATGCTGTTAACTGGACCAAGAATTCCTAGCACATTGACTCACGTGCACGTTGGTGTCGAGATCGAAGGATCTCTTCATGTTAAAACATACGAGGCTGATCCAGATCTTACTCATACATTCGCCTGGTCGAAACGAAATGTATATAAGCAAAAGGTTTGTATAAAAATTGATAACCTGTTACCAGTGTCGCCTATACACGGCATTCACATGACGACTATAGGCGACATTCATTGTTCCCACCTGCTCTTCAATATTTATCATTCTGTATAATTTATTGAGGATTCAATTTTTTTAAATGAAATTTCTAGTTCTTAAAAGTGTACTTTTTAATTTTCTAATAAATTTGATTGATAATTAAAAAAACGTTGTGTGTCTGATACGTCCAAATGCCTAACTGGGCGGCACGCCATTCCGTACAGCAGCGTCACTCCTGCGAAAAACAATGTCGTAGCGAAGGGGTTAATTATATTGGAGTTAATATGAATATACCGAATATGATGAGGCTTTAATTTTTGTAATATTGTAACCATATTGATAAGTTTTTGTAACGTAATATATAAAATTCAATATATGACCTAAAAATTATTCCATTGCATATAGACTAATAATGTTTTGATAGTTTTCTAAAAGATTTATAAATGCTTTTCTACCTTGACGATAAATTTTGTGTTGTTGCTAGCAAATTTAGTTGAAACTTATTGACTTTTATTATCTTTGATAAGTGTTTTTTGACATACTATTTCCAAAAAATCAATATTTTCAAATAATTCTTTTGACTCAATTTATAATTAGTTTTGAGATAAGAAGAAAATTTAATAGAAGTAAATAATATATTAATATTAATTATGACATATGTATGCAGACTGAGCATACCACGAATTTTTATATATTATTCGCCAATGACTTTTTTATTATATTTTGTGCTTTATTGATTTATATATTTCAATGTAATTTTATATTTGTAATTTCATTTCAAAATATGATATTAATTTTTCTGGTTTCATAGGTTTACGGGGTAGCTGTAGCCCGAATTTCAGTTGGCTACCAACATTCCACTTGTTCACAAGTAATTTGGGAAACACAGACCGCACTTTTGCAAGGTTTTGATGTCGACATCTCAGATATTGGTGGCTGGGGCTTGAATATACATCATCACTACAACTTTCATGAAGGTATTTCTACAATCTACAATATTGAATTTATACTTTTCGTATTCTGAACTATAGTCTTTATGTTGATTTCATGTGAATTTTTCAGCTGACAACTATGTAAAATATTGCTTTCCTCTATTTTTCCCACTATTGATGAAAATGTTAAAATGGCAATTTTGTGTACTTAAAACTATTTTTAAACCTATCTATTTAAACGATATTATTATTACTATTAAATTTTATGCATTACAATTTTTCAGAAAATATTTGTAATAAATGATAAAATTACCGTACAGAATCCGTCTTTTCTAAGAATTTTGACATTGTAATGAAAAAAAAAATTAATAATATGAAGTTAGAATGAAATTAGTGAGAAGAAATTATGTTTTTCTATTTCTCTTACATAATCACTATTTCTACTAAGATATGTATTTATTCATTTGGTCTTTTAATATTGTACTTATTAATTTTGATATTTTTATTCATTACAAATGCACCCTGACCAGTTTTGAACTTTTTCATTTTTCTCAGATGCTCATTTAACTGGCATCTCAAATTTAAAGACGCTGCTATTGTTTCCAAGGACTTACATTTCAGGTTTCGATTCCTATAGTCCTTCAACCGGACATTCCACAATTCTGGACGAGCCTCTACCAATTCAATTAATTGAAATACTTTATTTTTCTCCCAAACAAACTTTTCGCACTGTTCTTCATCATATAATGCTTCCATTTTCCAAAATCAAAAAAACAACTTTCTTAGGCACACAAATAAACAAACCAGTGCAAAGCAAAACAAAAAAACTCTACGTATAGTACAAAAAAATATCCAACAAGTTAAATAATGCTAGAGGTAAAAGCTAGAGCGAGAAAGTTGTGCAGAGACCCTGTGTACACTGAACATCATTTGTCTAGCGAGATTGTCTACGGAGAGCGTAGAGTGACTCTCGCTAGAGTGCCCTAGTAGCTCTGTACACTATGGGACTCTACATAGAGCGCTCTATTAGTGCTCTAGCTAGAGCGACTCTAGCCAAAAACTCTACAGTGTATCGGCACCTTAATAATGGTTTATGTTTCTATACATTTGGTCTTGCAATATTGAACTTAATGATTTTGATATTTTGATTCATAATAAAAATTACAATTTATATTCGACGCTAATAAAATTTGAGTATTTTTAGAAAAGCATATTTAAATATTGCGAATTGATTCTATATTTATTTATCATGAATTTATGTTGAAGAGATCTGCATTTCTAAAAATTGTGTTTATTCATTAGAACCTTTAATATTGAACTTACTCTTTTTTGAGAGTATTTGACTTATGCTAATTGATCTTAGAATTTGCCAATTGTGTCATAAATTTATATTGAAGATATCTATTTCTAAGTTGGTTTCCACTTATTTGATTTTGGACATATTTTTTTTTGATATTTTGATTTATAACAAAAAGTGACAATTTATAACCTACCCCACTAATAGTCGAGTGTATTTGAAAGTACATATTCAATTATTGCCAATTAATCCTAGATTTTAATGATGTCATGAATTTGAATATTTTGCAGTACAATTGCCACATTTGCTAAATAGAATATACACTTGAACATTGAATATAACAAATAAATACTTGAAATTTATTTATATTCAAGCATTTACAAGGGTATTTTAAAGTATTAATTTTTTTTTATTTAATTATTGTTTTATTGGTTTATAATCCAGCTACGTATAAAAAATTACTATAATCAATTCTATATAATAATTTTATATTTATCAAGAAAATTACACAAGATTTATAGCACTTCAAATTTGGTAGGAAATTCAATTTCGGCAAACATTATACAACTCGTCAATTACGCACTCCAAAAAACTTAGCTTTTTAAACATCGAATATTGACATGGAAATCATAGCTCATAACAATCATAGTTAAATCTCAAATTGTTTATGGTCCTGTCTATTTTCCCCTTTCAATTCAAAATGTCATAATTTTTTATTTAGATCGATTCTAATTCTTTCACAATAATTTTCACGCAATACAGAAGATGCTTCTTTATTTTTCAATTTTTCCTTGAGTCCCTTCATTTAAATGAATAGTTTTTAAATTTCGTACCCCTAACAAAAATCCATACCTATTTATTTATTTAATATGCCATATTTTTACAATAATCACATAATTTTCATGCACTTTCTAGAATTAAATTTTTTTTTTGAATCAAAAAATTTTATGATAAAAATTATTACTTTATCATTAATCATAATTTATTCGTATTATTACATTTTTTATAAACGGCAATTTAGTTGATTTTTTTAGTTGATTTTTTTTTCATAAACTACAATCAACATATTATTTTACCTAAGATTGATGATTTATGAATATTGTTAAATATATAGTTGATCTTGATCTACACAGATTTACAAGGCTTTACTAAATAGTAATAAAAAAAATATATGGCAATTTGTTTGATTTCTTAATTCTAATTCCTTTTAAATAGATTGCAAGCATCCATCTGAACAATTTTAATAACATTTTATTACATTTTAATATATTTCATATTTGGACTGGTTCCAAAATTCTATATATTCTATATAATTATACTATAGTTACAAATAGAAAATAAAGAAAAACTATTTATTGCCAAAAATTAATATTCAAAAATACTATTACCTTATTTTTAAATGATTTTTATAAATTATTTTAAACATGTTATTGATTCCCCTATAGCAAATATTTGGGATATTGTAGCTAACAGAAAGGTTTTTTTATAAGTTCATTCATAAAACTATCGCGTTTTGCCAATTCCAATTATTATTTATACCCGAAGAACGATAATTTATGAATATTGTAGAATATCTAGTTGGGGTTGTTGTAGAAAACTTTACATGCTTTTACCAAATAAAAAATCGAAGTTTTGTCGCTAACTGCTCTCTTGGTTGTAATTGTAATTAATTTTACTTATTTGCAGGACATTATATACGAAAATGTTTTCTTTATTCATAAATGTTTTATATAAATTATTTTAAATATGTTATTGATTCCCGATAGCGAATATTTGGGATATTGTAGCTAACAGAAAGGTTTTTTATAAATTCAATCACAAAACTATTGCTATTTTCTAATCCCAAGAACGGTAATTTACTATATAAGAATACAAGTTTTGTCGTAAATTTACTTTCTTCGTTATTATTGAAATTAGATATTCCTTTGCTGATACGAGTCAATTTTAATAATATAGTATTACATTCTGAAAGCATCGTTTTTTACTAATAATTATCAGTTAACTGATCAGTCAAATTATTACAGTAACTATGTATCCATATTTCGAGATCTAGTCAGAATCATCATTATAATGGTGACAATGTAATAGTTATTATAACCTGCGCATTTTAGGTGGAACCAGAAACCGCATGTCCCTTTGCATTTGGTCTATTGTACGCTACCCCTACTTTCAGAATATGAGATTACACAAACTAGGAAGAATATGCCTACATTTGTATTGGTTTTTCCTTTCCATTTCTCTTCATTATTTTGTCTCAGTTCATTCTCAGATTTTTTTTACCAATCGAAAGGACATAAATAACACGACACAAGCGTACTTACAACGTATGTCACAACCGTACCCAACGCACGATTTTGGAAACAAATCATTGTAATGATCCAGTTAAATTATCTACGCAAAAACTAATTGCTGGTAATTAACTATACTAATGCTCAACTTATAGCAAAATAACAAACAAAGTAATCTATTTTATACAAGTATAATAATGATTATCAAAAGAAATCTAACAAATCTTTACTTTGTTTCTTTAAAAACATTTCGGTGTACAGATCGTGTTAAGGGGCACAACTAGTGTAACCGCCTAAAAAAATGTGATTTTTGGGAATTTATATTAAAAAAAACTACTTTATCAATCATTTCAAAATTTTAGGAATATATTTATACATGTTTTAAGAAAACATAGTAAAATTGAAGAAAAAAATTAAATATTTTCTAAGTTATCGTCGATCTCCAACGGAGCGACAAAAAAAGGCCTTTCACTGCTGCAGTGATTCCGGCCTTCTACGTGGATGAAATTTAAAAAAAAAAAATCTTGTTAAACTAGATAATATAATAAAACTAGTCTGTAAAATGAACTACAATAAAGAAAAAAAATCAAAAATTGACAAAATGACGGCGTTTTTTTAAAAAAAAAAAAGTCGAATTTTACCCAAAATTTCATTTTACGGAGAACTATATATAGAACATGTAAAAAAAATCGATAATGATCGAATCATTTGTTTTTGAGTAATCGCTGCAGCAAATTCGGAAAATGCTGTTTCGAGAAAAACGCGTTTAAAGATTAAATGATTGTTATACTATATACTATATATATACTCTTTAAATGGCTGTAACTCAAAAACTATTTAAGATATCGATTTAAAATTTTGGTATAATATTTTTAAAGGTATAAACTATTGAAATATAGAAAAATTGGAAATTCGATTTTTTGAAAATTTCACACTAGTTGTGCCCCTTAATGTAGGATGCCGACTCAATGCAATAATGGAAACTTGTTTCAACAAACATACTACATGTTTCTCCTTTTGGACCGTATCTTAAAATCAGTAACTGTACCGTGACATAACTGTACCCAGGCTCCCCAAAATTAATATCCAGAAATACTATTACTTCTTATATGAATGATTAATGTAATAAACATGTTATTGACTCCACAATAGCAAATATTTGGAATATAATTATAAAACACTTGCTTTTCTCCAATTCCAGGTATTCTTCAGAAAGGTGATGGAGCTACTCTACACCTTAAACAGCAATATCCTCGTATCGTCCGTTCATCTATGGGCACCGGTCAACAACGTGCCCTGGTTTGTAACGGGCGTTGCGATGGCGCTGCAATCGATGCGCAATTACTTACGCCCGTTGCACTTACATCCGGACCTGACGGAAGCTTATATGTCGGCGATTTTAACCTTGTTAGAAGAATAACACCTGATGGCAAAGTACACACTGTACTTCAGTTAAGGTAATTCACTTTATAGAACGCAATAAATTTATTAGTAGAGGATGCTAGGGGTTTGTTATAACATTTATTTTAATTAATATATCTTGAGGTCCACTGACTGGATTTCTACGAATGTCTGCTATAACTCTTTCTCTATCAAATCTAGCGAAATTAATTGCATAACTGTGTTTACCTATAATAATTTTCTAGAAAAAATCCGTTATTACAATTTATCACCCTCACTTACTTATTCTGTTTTTAGTGCTAAGTTGTAAACTGGGGCAAGTAATAATGTCCAAAAAACCGACAATAATATCTCTGTTAATTTTTTTTTTATTTTTGAGAAAATTGACTTGTTTCTAAGTAATTCTTGTCATAAATAAACGTAAACTATAATTAATACAAATAAAATATAAAGTGTCTCCTGTGATAGAATTTCTTATAAAATATAGAGTGCTTCCTGTATCACACTTTAAATGTGCCCACATCTTTCAAACTATACATTCCGCTCAATTTTTTTCTTTTTAATCTGTATATAATTCTTTTATGTTACAACTAGCCTCAAGGTTTTGTTTCAACTAACTCCAGATTTGATTTTTTTACATTAATCAAGATTTTTATTTAAACAAATTAGCATTCATAAAAATTGTTACACATTATCAACGATTGATAAATATGAAGCAAATTAATATATATACAATTTAAAATTAGTCGATAATAATAATTCAAACCGAATTTTTATGTAAGTACATTTTTAAATAACATGCTAAAAATGATGGACCTGCACAGTCCTGTATATTGCTGCCGCATGTGGGATATTTTTTTTTGTTTTATTTTTCGTAGCATATCTACAATAAATACATTTAGCTACAATTGGTCGCAATTTAATTTGATGGCGTGTGACGGATAACTATTCTATGATGGCATCTTCTGTTATTAGAGCTTTAAATTTTTAAGTAATGTCATGTAATAATTTCCTACAACTTTTTTTAGTCGCTTAGTTATATATGACAATATTATGCAGGGCCGTTTATACATATACGATTGTAACAAAAAAAATATTTCAAAATCTTTATAATTTTTACTCCTGTTACATATAGTTTCTAGGTCCTATATATGTACCTACTAAAATTGAACGTAATGTGACGTAATAAGATATTTCTTTATAAAAATTAATATGATTTTTGTACGACTGATTTTAAATAGTTTAGTTTCTTTTTTTATGGACAACATTTGTAACATTTTGCCATATTATAAAAACTTTAAATCATTTTATGATATATTTAATTATTGATTCGCTGTGCTGTGCATTAAATTCCTTACCCGAGTCAGTATTAAAGTTTTACATTCTTCCTGAAAAATGTTTACTCAAGCCGTCTATTTTCACTTCTCTATTTTTAATAGTTATTTAAGTTATATTAAGATCGTAAAATTTTAAGTATTTTTGGCCCTTAATTCTAGTTACTTTATGTTTCTTATGTTATTATATGTAGGCATATCCAATGCATATTATATCAATTTATTGCTTTCATCTTACTGTTCTCAAAGTTAAATTGAGTTTCTAAAATCTCATGTCCAGATGCTACTAGAACTAATCTTAAAACCTCGAACATGTTCATTATGATATGTTAATCTCCGCAGTACTTATGCATTTACGCGTTTTATCTAGTATCTAGTATCTAACCAAAAAGTTATAATTGAAATAATATTGAATTTTCAAAAGCATTTCTAACTTACTTAGCAATGTTTTGAGTTTTTTTTCCAACGTAGTCTTTAAACGTTTTATGTTTTTATACTTAAAAATACCTAGTTCGATATTTCTTTATATATTTTTGAAGTATTTTGTATATGTATTATTTTAAAAATGAAATTATGTATCATAATGGAAGAATACTCTTTTAAAACAATACAACGAAAATGAAAATATTTGGAATTTGATTAAAACTGTGTTCATCTTTTCTCTACCTGAGATATAAAAGTTGTTTTAATAATTATTAAAGAACGTGGTATAATATCATAATAATCGTTTATTTTTAGTTATAATCACTTCAAAGTGAATACATTTTATCTAATAACACATAAAAGTTATGGCATATACTACAGCACCGTTCAAAAATCATATATATATATATATATATATATATATATATATATATATATATATATTCATTCGTAAATTCATATTTTATTATGTTGCACAATCATAACAAAAACCTTCAGTGCACATTACTAAATTTATAATGGATACAAATTTATATTGGATAAACATTTTAATGCCTTTTAATATGAACAAAGTCTTGGTCACTTTAAGACTGAGAATGTAAAATTTTGTGTATAGCCATGTGATTTTTCAAGCTATTCAAATTTTATAATGTCTTCTGAAAATGTGCATTGCACATTATGAAGTATAACTGGAATTATTATTTTATAATTGTATCTTTCGTTTAATTTTCCTAATTTACAATCTTTTTTCTGGAATTTGTCTCAATGATTGGGAAGTTTATTTGAATAATTAATAACAGGTCAGGAACAAGTTAAAAAATATTTTGATTATTTTGGGGTAGTTTATATACAATATTTTATTATATATGTTACAAAACTTTTCAACATTCGTTTAAAATTATACACTTTTAATATTCGTGACGAGTATAATTGAAACTTGATAATTTGATAATTCATAAAGTAAAAAAATTATAGGAGTGCTAGGGCCTATCTGTTTCTAACTGGAAACAGATGTTTTTCAATAGATTCGTTAACGATATTAAAATAATTTTTTTCCTGGTTGGACAAGTAATCCGTCCTCTACGATATGGTCATTGCTCCACCAGCCTGCAGCGATAAACAAAACTATGCAGATGCGTCGTTTTTGACATATAATATAAAAATAATCTATCATAAATTTTCGATTTGCGTTATTATTATCGACTAATTTTAAATTTTATATATCTTTTGTGTTTCAAATTTACAAATCATTGATAACGTGTAACATTTTTTGTGATTACTAAATTGTTCAAATAGTAATATTGATTTATGTAAAAAAATCACAACTGGGGATAGTTTAAAGGAAACCCTGGAGCAGCTAGTAGTGAATTATATTTACAGGATACACTATCATTATATTTTTCACTATTTCACTGTACTATGATATTAATTGAAGTTTTTGTACATTTATGATAAAAAATTATATTACATTAGACATTAGTATTTTATTTTATAATTTATTCTATTATATTGTTAATTATGGTTTTCGATTATTTATGAAAAAAATTATTCATAAACAAGTCAATTTTCTTAAAAATAAATAATAAATGAACTATCAGTGGTATTTCATTTTTCTTGTCTCGGTAGACGTTACGACTAGCTCCAAACACGTAAAATAAGTTGTAACACCACACTTTTTTATTGAACGATTAATTGAGAAATAATGAACAGCAGTTGTGGATATATTTTTACCCGGTGGAGGAGTAGTTACAGCAACCATCAATTTTTATTTTGTAGAAATATAGTCTCAAAAGGTTCTAATTGAAACAAAACAAAACAAAAAACGCTTACAACCAGCTCCTATATCCCATATATATATTTTTTTCATTCAGCGAGTATTGTTTGGCTGATATAAATTTTCTTCACATTTGAATAAGTTTATTGTGAAATTTTATTAATTATGTCAATATATTTAATTAGTGCGACCCAAGTGGCCTACCAGTATTACCTAGTCGTGTCTCCTGCGGATGGTCACCTGTACATTTCTGACCCGGAACGACAACAGGTGTTGAGGGCGTTGTCTCTCGAATCGGTTCGTGAGCCGTCAATAAACAGCGAACCTGTAGTTGGAAGTGGAGAACGTTGTATACCAGGGGATGAAGCAAGTTGCGGGGATGAAGGACCAGCATTGCAAGCGAGGTTGTCCCACCCGAAAGGTAAAAGTCTAGAAATGAAGCTATTAGTTTATTTATTACTACTGGTATTGACTAGCAAAAAACTGTATCAAATACATTTTGACTCCTTCATAATCATTGAATTGTTTATCATTCAAATAGTTTTGTAAATATTGATTTCCAATGATTTTACATACTTCTTACCAATTATCTTCACGTTATTTTGTTCGATTCATTCAATGTTTAGAAGAAATAGAAGTCATTTATTATTTATACAAAGCTCTTGAAGCAACTTAGAGCCAGATCATTTTTTCACGACCGAGTGAATATTATGTTTATTATTACAGTTTGGCAGCATTTACTAAAAATACTCATCATTATTCTTAACGTATCTCACATCGCATCGAGTTTTGGGATGATGAAATCACTTTTGGGTTACAATACCATATTATTAATTACTGACATAAATTTTCCTATGTTTATTTCGATATTTTGGTGTTGCTGATGTTTATTTAGTTTCTGGTTTTCAAATTTAATATCGTAGTGATAGTACTTTATGTAATTATATTTTTCTAATTCAAAAGTGAGGTTTTCGGTTATGTAATTATATTTTTTAATTCAAAAGGGAGGTTTTCGGGGCATTCGATAAATTTTGACAACACTTTCAACACCTGCTAAGCTAATTACTTGATATAAAGCAGAAAAGTGACTTCAGAAGCTTTGCTGAATTCTACAAATATAATTCTTCATATTTATGTACATGTTAGCTATTCGAGATTTAGTGTTTTTCCTAAAAAGAAGTCTAAAAAATTGTTTTCTTCGCTATATATAGTACAATAGAGTTATAAATTTATTTTCAGACATTTAATTATCGCCCTAAGTAATAAACTGTAATTAATATGCTCTCACAAAATGTTGTCGCACAAGTATATTTCGACTCATTGTTCCAGGAATATAATTTTATTTATTTATTATATATAAAATAAATATGATGTTTTTATTCACAGAGTGAATTTAATGAATGAAGAAAAAAATTAGCGAATTTGTTCTTTTCTATTGTCCATTTTTCAATAAAAACTAATAAAATGTTATTTATACGATTTTTATACGTAGTACGAGTTTATTGGTTTAGTTAAATAGTGCCCGATTTAAAAACAAATGTTTGAATCTGTAATACTATTAAAAAGGTTGTAAATATTATACGTGATATATATTTAATATTTTACAAATTATATTTTTTTTATCTTTCAACTTTTCATGATGCTGATGGAAAGTGAAAATTTTACGACTTGTATTTTCTTATTGAATATTTAAAAATAATTAATAATAATCTTTTTTAGCAATTTCTAGAGTAATTGAGTTCGATGCGCATCAAAAATGATGTTTTTAGAATTTTAGTTAGCCAAGCGCTTTTGAATAATTCATTTATATATTATTACAAAAAAAAAACAATTTGCACTTTCAGGTCTTGCAATCGCTGCTGATAAAACAATGTATATTGCTGATGGAACTAACATTCGTGCAGTAGATCCTAAAGGAATAATTCACACCCTGGTTGGTCATCATGGACACCATAATCATTGGACGCCTGCTCCTTGTCATGGGGCTATTCCAGTTAGCCAGGTTTAATATTTTTCAAACATTTGTATTTGTCGAAAAGTATTTTTTTGTTTTACAAGTTAGGAGAATAAACGTTTTTCCAATGATTCATAAAATGATTGAATTTAAAATTCTTTTGAAGAACAGATCTATCTTCAGATATCGGATTGAATAAATTCAATCTTTTACTGAATTATATCGAACTATGCTTTTTGCGTTTTATAACTTGTAATTTATTTAAACAAGAAAAAAGTATGATAAAATTATGATTTCCAAATTATTGCAATTATTTATTATCTAAACTCACATTTTCAAACTTATTTGCACTAAACTAAAATTCACCGAAAATCCTTTTTTCTTCAAAAAATATATTATGGAGTAACAGGTTTTAATGCAATGAATTACGAAGTACTATTTATACAAGCAACGCAAATACCAAAAAATTATGTCGTATACAATTTATTTTGAAAAGCCAACCATTTGATAAAGTTTTTCCATATTAAATTACTCGAAATAAAATTTTATTTTTAATTCAGTATTTTTCAGCCTGCTTTGATTTGCCATATATATTCTTAAGCCCAAAACATTCGTAATTATTTGATTATTTTATATTATTAATAAAAAACTTTAAGCAATTGTATTTAATATTCAGTTTTCTAATATATTTTTAAAAGACGATGAACTGTAATAAATATATTTTTATATCTGCTTTTAAATTTCTTTTAAATCTCTATACAAACAGCAATTTTATCATATTTCTAATAAATCTATTTTTTTCTTGTAAAACTCTTGTATTATGAAATATATGAATTTTTCTAAGATTTATTTTATACACATATCTGCTGTACTGATTTTGGCAATTTTATCTACATTTGTCTATTCTTCCTTACAATTAGAATTATTATTTAATTTTTGACCGTTACTGTAAATTTAAAGAAATTTTGCTCTAATGTAGCATTTTTCGAATTTTGAAGATTCGACTTTTATAAAGATTTTTAAAGATCTGAAAATAATTAAATTTTGCTTAAAATCATATTTGAATTAAAATTATGGAGCAATTTTGTTTAGTTTTTTATTTAATTCGATTATATAAATTTATAAGCAGTTGCATGGTAATGACAATTTCTTCTTGTGTAACTATTCAGTTAATTTTTTTACTATCGCCTTTTTTCATTAATTCCAAGTTGATTATTTAAATTGATATTAAAAATTGCCATTTTCAGTTAAAATCTGCGCAATAATTCTATCAAGCGTACACAATTCAATAGTTATATTGTGTAGAAATATTGTGTATTTTTTTAATTCAATTGCATTTTTGTCTATTTGCAAGTATTTATTAATCATTTTTATATGTTTACGTTTTTTTTAAATTATAACGAATTATTAAATCAATTAAGTTCAGAATTAACTGATTGATCATCAATCTAAATTTTTATATAAATCAATTTTCTCTACTTCAACAGAATTTAATTGATATAAATGTTGACAAAAATTTTTATAAATTAACGATGTATATAATTATTTTTAAAATAGCGTATTTTCTGCATTTGTATATAAACGTATCATTGAAAATATATTTAGATGAACATAATTTATACATTTCCACCATTGAGGGATATCTTTGAAACTGACAAAGTTCGAAATTTTAATTATTAGTTTAATGGCATATGAAAGTGATGAAATAACAAGAGTATAAATCTTAATTTCAGACTAGAAAAATAATATTAATAGCTTAACTTGATTATTATTAATATATTGTACTAAAACTCACCTAACCCTAGTACAATTTACTATTTGTTTTTTTTTTTCAATTCGCCCATAATTTGTAGTTTGTTTTGTCTGTTTTATATTATCATAAATTTGTTGGTGATCAAGACAATAATCCAATTTAATTTTATAGGCACAGCTTCAATGGCCAACTGGACTTGCTCTCAGTCCTCTAGACGGATCATTGCACTTTATTGATGACCGTTTAGTACTAAAATTAACCGCCGACATGAAAGTCAAAGTAGTTGCTGGTCGACCTTTACACTGCAGTACAAAGAACCAGGAAAATCAAGTTACAACTGATACAAATCACACAGAAACTGATAATGGAGAAAATGTTTTGGGAACTGTTCTTGCCGTAGCCTTTTCGCCAACTGGTGAACTTTACATTGCCGAAAGTGAAACTAGAAGAATCAATACCATTCGAGTTGTTGATACTGATGGCAGAATTAGGCACTTTGCAGGAAAACAACACGATGGATCGTAAGTGGAATTATTTTATTGTTTGATAATCAAATTTCATATAAATAATGATTTTCGGTAGTTATTAAATAATTTATGCTGTTTATTGCTAATTTATCTCGTTTCTTTTTCTTGAATTTATGCTATAGTTAATGAACAAATATTATTATACACGTAAAATATGAAAGTACATTCTTTTTGATTATATATCATGGTGATAATTTTTTTTTGAATAGTGATTTGAAATAATGATTTTATGTGTCATGATAGTGTTTTATTTAACTCTTTTTGCCATAATTTTGATTATAAACACAATAAACACTACATTAAACAATACTAACTTTTTTATATTCAGTTCACATCATCACATTAATAAAAATCAATCTATTGTAAAATACAACATACAATGTGCCTTTTCTCATAAATATTATTTAAAAAAATAAGCTTAAAAATAATTACAGATGACTCGTTAGATAAAGTTCATTTATATGTATTCAGATATCAGAAAGAGTCAACGGTAATTACATATATTTGAGAGATATTTTTAATACTACAATACAACGTTTTATTGCACTGTAAAATTATTATTATGATTGAGTCAAATTATTTCATTATATATTTCTGATGTAAATAAATATTTGTGGAATTTTAGTATGAAATGATAATTTTATATGTATGAAATGAAATTTTTAGCTATTTCTATGATAACCTTAAACAATAATGATTTTTCTATATTCAGCTATTTGTCTTTTTATGATTAATTATTATCGTATTATAATTACAGATGACACGTTAGATAAAGTCTTATTTATATATTCATAATCAAAACATTCTTATAATAATACATAAAACATTTTTTATAGTTGAAAACAATTTGTATTTATTAGTCTATTCCGTTCATTAATATGGTGCAATATAATATTTATATTATCACTCAAATAAATTCGAATAAAAGCTTTGCGCTAAAGCAAAATTGCTAAAACTGCAATAAATGCTGTATAATATTTAATCGTCAGGCAAAAATACAAAATTTTAATCTTCAAAATTCGAACATTTTGCCAAATCATTTTTAACACTAATTGTCTTTTATTACTTGTACGTATTCCAGAAATTATTGGAGACTTCTTTTTTCAAAAAATTATCGACATCCTCATACCGCCAACAAAAACACTATGCTTTTGTAAATATTTATATCCCAAAAACCGACTCTTTCCACATGGCTTTCACAAAAACGAATCTTATTTTGTCACCTTCAATACGAATTTTATTACTGAGTTCTTCAAATCGGTTTTGATCTAAGATATACAAAATGTACTTTTTTGTCGATTTAATTTTACAAGGGTAATGTATTCTTGAGAAAGGCATACATTCATGTAACGAATAGCATCGCATTAGATAGTTATTTATTGATTGTAAGGTTTTGTTAAAAATTTATATTTTACCTTTTAACAGTGGAAATGCATGTGAATGTAACTCTACTTCATCAACAACGACTCAAGGATCTATGACATCAAGTCCAGCTTTAAACCAGCAATGCAACTGCAACAAGGACGATTCTACTAAAAGTCCACCATCTGGTTCTCCAACAACTACCATTTTATCCTCACAAGCTAAATTCCAAGCAATTAGTGCTTTGGCAGTATCACAGGACGGAGTAGTTCACGTAGCTGATCAAGGTAAGCAAAAAATAGATCCCCATTTGCTTTATTTTTATTCTTCATCGTTGTGATAAAAAAAAACAGCAGAAGCCAACATGATTTTTTATTTGATTTTAAGAGATGCTCAAGAATATTAATGGATTTTGTGGTTGTTTTAATTTAAAAAACCTTTTTTGAACTGGTTACAAATTATACTTTGAATTCTTAAACATATCATTAATTACACATTTTTTTCATATTGGGCTGTTTTATTTTTCAATCTATTTCTTGATTCTATTTGATGATTTTTTTAATTAATCGAAAGATAATAATAAGACCCAATTTGTAAATCTGGACCATAAGTTTCCAAACTGTTTTGGAAACTGGATCTCTAGGCATTTGCCTTAATTACCCGATATAGATTTTTTTTTAAATCTATAGATACATATTGCATTTTTTTTCTTCTTAGGTCTATTTAAAAATATTGTATATGCCTTAGTAAATTTATATCAACATTCTGTGTTGTATTTTACTACACTGGAATTCGAAACAATGTTTGGCTTATTTTGACCGCTTTAAAGCTGTTATGGACCCCTGAAGGCCCACGTAGACTACTTTGGCAATCAATGCTTTAGAGTCTAAAGTTTAGACCTTATAAGTTTTATAGCTTTGTAACAGATTGGGTGAAAATTGTTTGGCCTATCAAAGTAAAATAAACTTTTTTGGCAATCCTGTTTCTATTCAACATACATCCCTTCAAAATGAATTCACAGCTTTAATTCTTTAATTCAGCGATCTTCCTACTTTCTGATATCATTTTTGTAGTACAATTTGTTTTTTGCTTCAAAGTTGATCTCAGTTCAGGGATATATTCTTCATTTATATTGAAATTGTGTCAATCAATAACAAAATATAAGAATTATTCTACGATTTATTTTAAAAATTTATATGCTATACTGATTTTATCAATTTTATCTACATTTGTTTATTCTATCTATTAATGCTGTAAATTAATTTAATTTTTGACCATTACTGTAATTATAAAATTAAATAATTGAATTTTGAAGATATGACATTTTTAATTTGGAAAATAATTAAAATTTGTAAAGTCTGAGAATAATTAAATTTTATTTGCACAAATATTTTAACTAATTTCTGATACAATCCTAATTATTTTTTTAATTTCGATCACAATAAAGAAGAATTTATAAGTAATTATAACGTTTGGGTATATTGTTGCACATGTTGCTTACAATCGAGTGGACAGAACCTTTTACATACATTTTTTTATAAAAGTTTACCGATTTTAATGATAAAATATGGTTTTAAAGTTTAAAGAAATTTCTTTGCGTAAATAAACTGCATTTTCAGTCCACATGTGTATCGTGAGAGCCTTTATTGCACTTCGATATTTTTTGTTGAGTCTGACAAAGTTTTTAAATACAAATTTAACAATGGAAATTTTAAATTTATTAATAATAATTTTTCTAAAAAATAATAATTATACAACAATAGAAATTCACGAATAAAGTCTACTCATTGATTCATGTCACCAACATTACATTATTCCAATAGTAAATTTTCTTTTATATAATTTTTTATTGGAAATTGCAGGTTGATCAAACTTTTTTTTATTTTGTTTTGTTTCATTTACAATCCAATGCATATTGTTTATCTGAAATTTTTCTACATCAAATTTTCTAATTAGATATTTTTTAAAATTAATTAAATTATACTAATTAAGCTTCTGAAGTTAGATCTTATATGTTTTAACATTTCGTTATGTGTCAATGAATACAAATTATATGAGTTTTCTTTATATTTATTTCATACATATATCTACTATGCTGATTTTATCAATTTTATCTACATTTGTTTATTCCTTCCTTGCAATTATAATAGAATCATTATTTATCGTCACTGTAAATGTAAAGAAGTTTTGCTATAATTTTGCATTTTTCATCCATTCTTTGAATTTTGAAGACTTTTGAAAAAATCTTTAAGTCTGAAAATAATTCAATTTTACCTAAAATAATATTTTAATTAAAATCATGATGCACTTTTGATTATTTGATTATATAAATTTTTAGCAATTATATTGTTTAAATACATCCCAGCAATTCCGTATAAATGTTTACCGATTATAGTAATGTCAATAATGATATCCTAATAATAAATATATTAATGGAATTTTCGATATAATTTTTCCATCATTTATTCGTTTATTGAATTTTGACGATATGTCTTTTCTAAGTCTGAAATTAATTAAATTTCACTCAAACTAATATTAATATTGTAAACTCTCGGTGCATCAATCTTTATTGGATTTTTGTGTAAGAATTTATTTAAGAAGGTTTGGTTGCTTGTTGCAAATTATATCTCTTATGTATTCCCTTGTTCATGTTTTTAGTATGCAAACTTCCTAAATATATTTTTTTATAAATGTTTAATGGTTCTAGTGATGTCTCAACTGCGAGATGTTGTGATAGGGGTACGGTTGTATTCCTTTTTTCAGCAATCAGCAATAAATTTGTTAATTTACTAGTTAGCTTCTACTTCAATTTTTTTTGTTAGGAAAATTACTTGCCAAAATACGTTAAATGTAAATTTTACAAAAACAATTTTAAATTAAAAAAAAATCTTATTTATTGAATAAAAATTAGTAAATATACTATATTATTTGACTACAAATGGAATTAAGATTTTATATAAATGTACAATATTTATCAATTATTTTAGTGACGATTTTACATATTTTAATTGTGTTCTCATAGCATATCATAATTATGTCTGTTATACAATCTTCGAAATAAGTTCTGTTCATTGGTGCATGTTCTCGATTTATAAGATTTATAAGATTTATATTAATCTAATGGCAAATATTCTATTTACTATTAAATATTTTATTCACTATTAAATATTTTTCTATGTGGTTTAAATTTGAAATTACAGGTTCTTTGAATTGTGAAAGCTAGTTTTTAAATATTAATTCAAAATAGAGAATTTTTTAAAACAATAGAGAACAATTTAAAACTTGTAGTAAGAATTCGATAAACGAAAATTACTAATTAGATAGGAATTAAAATTGTTTTTACATTAATATGCAACATTTTAAAATTATTTTACTGATAAATTTAAATGTTTTCATTGTATTTTTTTATGTATTCCTTTGTTCATATTTATATGTTAAATGTAAATTTTACAAAAACAATTTTAAATTTAAAAGAAATCTAATTTCTTTAATAAAAATTAGTGAATATACTATATTATTTGACTATAAATGGAATTAAGATTTTATATAAATGTACAATATTTTTCAATTATTTTAGTGACTATTTTACATATTTTAATTGTGTTCTCATAGCATATCATAATTATGTCTGTTATACAATCTTCGAAATAAGTTCTGTTCATTGGTGCATGTTCTCGATTTATAAGATTTATAAGATTTATATTAATCTAATGGCAAATATTCTATTTACTATTAAATATTTTATTCACTATTAAATATTTTTCTATGTGGTTTAAATTTGAAATTACAGGTTCTTTGAATTGTGAAAGCTAGTTTTTAAATATTAATTCAAAATAGAGAATTTTTTAAAACAATAGAGAACAATTTAAAACTTTTAGTAAGAATTCCGTAAATGAAAATTACTAATTAGATAGGAATTAAAATTGTTTTTTTACATTAATATGCAACATTTTAAAAAAAATTATTGATCAATTTAGATGTTCTCATTGTATTCTTCTATTGTATTCTGTATATATCTGATATCAGTTTTGCCAAAAATATATACATGTTGATTCATCTATTTATATTAGATATTCTATAATGTAAATTTTCGTTTTACATTACAGGTTCTCTGCAAATTTTGTCTCTACAACATTACCTTCCGACTCATGACGAAAGTGGAGAGTTCCACATTCCTTACCCTGCCACCAGCGAAATTTACGTGTTCAATCGCTATGGACAACATATTGCAACTCGAGACTTGACTTCAGGCAAAACAAGATACTCATTTTTGTATTCCAAAAATACAAGTTTTGGCAAGTTATCAACTGTCACTGATAGTTCAGGAAATAAAATACAGTTCCTAAGAGATTACAGCAATGTGGTCAGCTCTATTGAGAACACTCAAGATCACAAATTTGAATTGAAAATATCGAGTGTCGGTTTTCTGACCAAGTTATCTGAGAAAGGAAAGGCTGATATCGAGTTAGACTATGATGGAAGCACCGGATTATTGAACAGTAGAGCAGGGGTGAGAACTGTTTTTATATTTTTGAGTATTTTTTTGTTTATTGTTCTATTAATATTGTACATCAGCGCCGTTTACTATTAGGGAAAATACAAACATAATTTTATATATGTACAATATGATCTAGTGGCATTATTTATAAATTTGCTTTAAATAAATGAAGCCATTGTAACAATCCTGTCATATTCCGATCGGCATTATTACATTCTTGTCGCAGTTATAAAGTCAAACGTGTTTTGGGGACCTTCTTATAAATGAAGTACTAGTCTTTTCCAACAATTTTATTGATAATTTGGTAGAATTTAGATTAATTATTCAATTTGTTTAATTTTGGACATAATGACATTTTTGGCAAAACTCTATTTTTCCTTCATTGGTTATGATGCATTACTTGTAACCTTTAGGTTCATGCTTCAAGTGCTAATGTCTCATTTTATTTGGGAACTCCTTCTTAAATATTAACCCCTCAGTATGTCCTCACCATATATGTCATTTACAAGAACAAGATGGTTTTTGTAATATGCTGCATTATTTAATTAAATTTTATATATGTACAATATAATCTAGTAGCTTTATTTAAAAATTTGCTTAAGTAAATAAAGTCATTGTAACAATCTTATCAGGTGCCGATCGCCATTATTACATTCTTGTCGCAGTAATAAATTCAATTTGCGCCTTGAAAAGTTTATTTTAAGGGTTTTTTCATGCTCTTTTGGATACCTGCTTATTAATGAAGTAATAGTATTTTCGAACCATTTTATTGATACTTTGGCAGAATTTAGATTTATTATTCAATTAGTTCAATTTTGGACATATTGACATTTTTGGCAAAGCCCTCTTTTTTCTTCATCGGTTACGATGTATTACTTGTAACTTTTAGGTTCATGCTTCAAGTGCTAATGTCCCATTTTATTTGGGAACTGCTTTCTTAAAAATTAGCATCTCAGTATGTTCTCACCATATATGTAATTTTCATGGACAAGATGGTTTTTGTAATACGCTGCATTATTTAATAGATTGAAACTGGTTATAATATCTTGAAATAAATAAATATCATTAAAAAACAAACACCAAATCATTTTGTTGGTGCTTTTCCCATACTTTTTAAATCATATTACAGTTATAAAGATTGTTATCTGACTGACACTTTCATTATAACTACAATAATTATCAAAGGAGAATTAGTACGATATCTACCTACATACCTACATATGTCGTTTTCGTTTATAACGATTTTTAACATGATTTAACTTAATAATGTTCTACAATCTGTCAATAATAATTTTAGATTAGTTGAAAGTGAGACTTTTAACCTTATTATTGTATCTAACAGTTCCATTCTGCCCTGTATGGCGTTCTATACTCCATGATGATATTGTTTGCATTTTTTTGTATATTTTTTACATATTTTATAAATTTAGATATTTTGGTTATACTTTTTCAATAGTGCAGTTCTTTTGAATTCCTAAACAGATTTTTATTTGTTTTAATATTTTTACTTTTTTAAGCTTTTACTTTTTTAAGCTTTATATATAATATAATTAGATTTTTAATTATTTTAATATTTTTACACTATTTTAATGATATTGCTATATTATGAAAAGCTGTAGATGTGGATTATTTCCATAGTTATTTGTATCGGTTAATAATTGTTTTATTTTATAACTTTTTGTTTAGTTTTGATCGTTTTAAATGTATAAAAGAAACTTCTCACATAAAATATGAAATCGTATTCCAAAAATCGAAATTTTATTAAATTGACTGTTGTAGTATCGGAAACCTAACATAACAACATTTATATTTATGCGCTTGGTTCCATAACGTAAATTGATTAATTACACTGTCTTTTATGGAATTTTAAACGAAATAAAACAAGTCAAATTTTCCTACCGACATATTATAAGATGGAAAGAACATTATATTTAAACTTTAAACAAAAAGTTTGTTTTTAACCTTTTTTCTTTTATATATTTAATACACATTTTAGTGAAAGTTAAGTGATCAATAACTTTTGGCCATTATTAACCTATTTATATCACTCAGAAATTACTGATTAAATAAGTATAAATTTTAAAATTTTCTTGGTTTCTCACGAATGCTCACCTATTTTACAAAAAAATGAAAATATCTTTTCAATATGTATTTTTTTCTAATATTATATGATCCATAATATTTGTCATCTGCATTAACAATACTAAATTTTACATTAATATTTTAATATCTTTCAGTTGTTACTATTTGCTTGTCGTTAATTTGACTTCGTTAATTTTCCTTTATTGACTATATATATATATATATATATATATATATATATATATATATAATTATTCAACACTTTATTTTGTATATTTAATTCATAATGCCTTGATTTTCATATCAGTTGAATAGTACTTATATAGAAATGGATAAATTTGTAAAAGATAATTTCCATCTGTATAAAAATACATTAAAATTAATTGTTAAAACCATAGAAATGTCATGACATCTTATAAAAATTGTATTAAATTTATGTTATACAACAAAAAACTATTTCCAGGGTAGTGACACGTATCTGTACCAATACGATTGGCTGGGTCGTGTAACCCAAATTATTGTTCCTACTGGAGAAGTACTTCGAATCGAATCAAGTTTAGAAAAAACACCAGGATTATTTGTTGAAATTAGGTCTAATCAAGATTCGTCTGCAACTTGCGAGCTCTTGCTTAAAGGTCAATCTTTAAGAACTATGGTTTTGATGGATGGTAAGAAATTATATTTTGTGAATAATAGCCATTTATTTAAAATATGTATGAATAAAAATAATAAGCAAATGTAAATTAATGAGTTACGATGCAAATTCTACAAAATTAATTATTGATACAATTTTTAATAAGTGTCACTACAATTTCCAATATGAATTTATTAATATTTTTGAATCGATTTTATTTCATTATGAGATATGTAAAACCAAAATAGGTAATGATTGAATAACCATTTTTTTAATGAACTTAGGTATACAATATTAAATGATACAATTGTGTTTAATTTTGTATCAAAGCACAATTTATTTAGTTTGTTTTTGTACATGCTTAACTTATTAATATATACTAATTTTCTTATAATAATTAATTAGGCGTTTGAATAACTGATATTATTTGTCAAAGTATTTTGAAATAATTTGTCAAATGCATTCCTAGAGATAGTTGTTTTTTTTTTAATTTATTGATATCATTCCAATTAAAAAATCGAAACTTCTATGATTATTTTCATAAAATTTTAGAACTATGGCGGAATAAAAAATTTTTACGTTCATCTTACAGAAATTAATAAAATATAGAATTTATGTAAAAGTTCTGGTTTTACGACTTTACTTGAATGTAATGCTGATTATACCTTATATAATCTAACTTTCAAAATTTGCACTTGAATATAATTTTTTTTTCGTTATCCAAAATGTTTTATGACATGCATATATTAAATATTTGGTTGTGATTTACTGAGCTTATATAAGTCTTAATTTTATATCTGAATGAGAAGAAATAATTTATTCTTCAGCAAACAATTTCATGTGCGATAATTATTCATCTAATTATTAGTCGATAATTGGTGTATATTATATCAAATGCTTGTGATTCAATAATTTTGAATTGGAAGAATATTGTTAACGGTTTTATCATTGAATTAAGGTTTTTACTATTCATTTCTAGAAGAAAACAGTAAAAATTTGAATAAATATATTTATTTGATACTGATATAAAACTAAGTATGAATATTCTATAAATGTGTTTTTTTATATAATAAAATATTAGAGATTCGATGAGATTTATGATAACAAATAAAAATGTTTTATCCCTTATATTTTTATCATTGATTGCGGTTGTTGCAATTTTTTGTCAAAAAAGTTAAATGTTGAATGAATAATTTTTATTTTGTAAAAGAAACAATATTTTTCATTATAAGTACACTTTAATTTTAATCTACACATGTAAGTTGGTAAAGTAAATACCTTTCTTTCATGTATTACACAAGTTGAATATATATGCTGAGGCAATTCACACTCGAAAATAAAAATTCGAAAAATATTGATAGTTTTAGCTAGCAGCATAACATCATTAGCTTCAGACATTTTTAGTCCGTGAATAATTTTGTATTGATGTTTTTTATAATGTATTTTATCTCATACCAAACAGTTGTGTTTATATATATCGGTAAAGTAACCGAGTTGGTGGATACCTCGGTGCTTTTAAAGCCTATCTCAGAATTTAATTATGGAAACGTTATATTATCAATATGATATATAGCTAATATTTTTTTAAAACATCCTTTGCAGGATCTGAATCTAGTGATCTAACATTACATTCCAATAATTCTATAAGTCTTCGTATAAGTCTGGCAGAGGTCTGGCATTAGATTCATCAGCCTGGTTGCGACATCCATTGCTGGTACGAGATGTCCCAATTCTTGGAGAAATGATGCCTCTGTGGTCGCAACAGCGTGCGTCTGCTGATGGCGAAGCTGATGGTCACGAAGACGATGATTTAGGCTCACTTACTAATTTTATGAGCCAACGATATATGCTGTCAGGAGATGAAAGGAATCCACATCGAACTTTGAGCCGTGAAATATGGGTGAGAAAAGGACTCAAATTTTAATTTAATTTTTTCACACCTTTTTAACAAAACATTTTTTTTGTATAATTACTTTTCAACTTAACCATGCGTTGTTCTACCCTTTACTGTGCTATCTACTTCAAACACGTTTTAATATTCTATCAAAACTTTTTTTTATATACATATTTTTATTTGGTCTTCTGAAATAGTACTTTAGCCATATTCCATAGGCATAAAACTATCTTCTTTAATATTATAAATGTTATCTTTGATTCGAAGGCATTTCATTTATTTATTTATTTATTTATTTCACCTTAAAAAGTAGTACTTCAGCCATATTTCATAGTCATAAAACTTATTTGTTTAATATTATAAATGTTAATATAAATGTTATTTTCAATTCGAAGGCACTGTTTTTGCTTTCACTGTGTCATCTACTTCAAACACATGTTAGTGTTATATCAAAACTTTTTTTTATTTATATATTTATTTGACCCTACACACTATTCTAGATTTATTTCAGTATTTAGACTTAAACCAAAACCAAAATTTTGGTAAATATCCCAATGCATTTCATTAAACCATATTGAATATTCTGCTCTTCATCAACAATAATCTCAGATTAGATGGAAGTGATATTTTATTCTCATTTTTTTCTTGCACAAATTCACGATGCTTTTTTTCCACTTTAGCACTTTTTTAACAATTTGGAATTCTATCGATCCCAATGATTTTCAAATGGAACGAAGATGATTTTTAATAATTTTTTGTATTGAACCAGTACTCTGCTTGGATTCAATTTGCCATCTGAAAATCATTTTGCCACTTATTTCGAAAATTTGCTCTATATAGGTTTTCAATAAATTTGACCGAAATACGTTTCTTTGTCTGAAATTATATCGTCAAAACTCATTTTACTATACGTAGAGGAAATACGGACAAAATGGCATAAATACATACAGTTACAGTATGCCTTATTTAAAAATTGGCACAATATATGGAATGACACAGTAGCCTTATATAAATGTTGGCTAGTTTTAGTAGAATTTAGTTGACTACTAAAAGTTTTCGATTGATATTTGTAATTATTTCTATCAAAATCAATATACTTATGTCAGAACTAGCGATTTCAATTTTTTTTTGCCAATACCAGGTGTTTGATGGAATTTTGATTATTTATTAATTTTTTTATCACTTTCGGACAAAGTGACATATTTATGCAATGGACAAATGACTTAATACTACTTTGCAAGCCTACATAGCAGTTTATTTGAAGCCAGGAATTTAATTTCTACTATAATTGTTAACTAACCTTATGATAGACCTCTTTTCTCGTTCTGGTCTCGGCGAAGTTATCCGCTAGTGTTCTAAAAAGGACCAAATAATTTATTTGTGAACTAATATTTTTATAAATTTATATCTTGTATGTCCTAAGCTTGTCATTTTATTCGTACTATTTTTAAAAAATCGTTTTTGTGATTAGTCGCAGTTTTTCGCAATATAATTATATTTCCTAATTGATTTGAAGATCATGTTACTGGTTGACTTATTATAGTATTATTAAATAAATAAATCTCATTAAAAAATCAAAAACAATGTCATTTTGCCCGTACATCTCTTATATTTTATTTTGAAGAAATATGATGTCAATGAATGTATTTATTTAATTATTTCAATTTTAATTTTATAATTTTAACTACTTTAAAATCAGTTAAGTGTTCCACTAAAATTATTTTAGGAAACTTATATTTTGTGTTGAAGTTGCACTTTATAAAATCGTTTTACCATTTAGAAATGATCTTGTTAATGGCCGTGTTGTTTTTAATTTTATTCTCTTTATTTTATAATGGAACTTTAAAAAATGATGAATTGCCGCCTACCTTGACTATAAGATATTTAACATCATAACATTAAAACAGCTATTAGTATTTTCATCGATTTTTGTTTTAAATAAAATATCATTTTACAATTTTTCATCGTTTTCTTATAAAAGATTTTAAAGAGCACACAAAGTTATATCAATACATTACTAAATTATTATTCATAGTGAAATCGGTTCTTATAAATCAACTTCTGAGGACTCTATTTATATAAAAGTATTATAATAGACTCGAGATTGCTGACTATTTTTCATCCATGACAGAGAGCATTTTGTGCAAAACTTTCGTTTTACAGAAATGTACATCAGTACTTTTGAACCGATAATTTTTCGTTAATGTCTTCAATTTCTTTTTTCTCAAAATATTTATTTCTTCCTTTACGAAGATCGCCTAATGATATTTTGAACTTAGGTTTATATAAATATTTAGAAGAAATAATATTCAAATATCAATGTAGTGAAAATTAAAAAAAAAAATACGTTAACACTATTCCTACCGACATTTCATGTTTGCTATTCAAATGACCGGTCATGCAAAATCGGTGTTTTTCAGTATTGAATGAAGAGTTAATGCTATTTTAAGAGTTTATAAATACAAATACAATATATTTCTTTTATTTTAGAATGCGAAATCTACATTTTATACTGTTGTATCCAATCTCTTACGACTTTTTTCTTAGAATGTATTTTCTGCACACGCATTTTTTACGTTTTTGGCTGATTTTGAATTGGCTGACCGAATGATTTCTGACTATTTAATGAATGACATCTACATCAGTCCCGACGCTAATACCAATTGAATTAACTCCCGTATTAGTGTAATTTTTTCAACATATGTGTATGTAAGTGAACATTAGAATCTTCTTTCTTAGCTTCCAAAATTGTAAATATTATTTGAGTGTTGAGGTCCTTGATTTTTAGATCTGCCAGTATTTATAACAGTTATATTGCTTCAATTGTACCTACCATCAGTTTTTTTTACTAAAAGTTTAGCTATTTGTAAGATGGTAAAAACGTTATATATTTTTTACGTCGTACTAGCGATTTTGATAATACGGTTTCATCAGTTATAAATCTTTTCAAAGAAATTCTCAGTTTGCTACGTATACTTGGATGGTTATCAAAATTTTACACCCCATTTATGCGATTTACTGGGCATAATTATATTTACATCGTATATTGAACAGATACGAAAATTGAATAAATTTACACCTTACCTTTATTGAAAATATATGTTTGTCGATAGTAATACGTGATCTTTTACAACAATTTTGATTGCTGTCAATGGAGTTCAACCAACCTTTGTATTCCTTCGTAAAAATCTGTTTGACATTGAGCAAAAATGAGAAAACCCACTTTTTACACCGTACAAGTGCAATATTCATACTCCTTGCCTCATAAGCGCAGCGAGCATACAAAATTGGAAAAAATGCATATAAATTTGCAGAAGGCGGTTTTTACCACTCTAAATTCTTCTGAATTTACATTTTTTTGTAAGTTCGATCATAATCTTAACAATTACTACAAAAAATACCGTCCGAACATCGTCTTTCGTACTACCGGTCAAATGACCGGTCGCGGTAGGTAAGACAGTATACAATTTTTTTCCAAAAATAAAAATTGAAAAAACAAATTAACATTGAAAAACGTATCATACTCACATATTAGGAAAAGTCATAAAGTTTGATGACGATTCAATTACGTTTGATATGAAAAATACTAATCGAAAAATCAAAAACGGTCATTTGACCGGTCCCGGTAGGAATAGTGTTAATATATTTACTTTTCGTATTTTATTCGACTAATTTTTTTATGCTTATGTATTTATATATAATTACGATTATTTGTTATTACTAACAAATTAAATTTGTTTTTGTTGCATTCATTTATATTTTATTTCAACATTATCTATTGTGATTAATTTTAATGCTATATGAACTTTCTTTTCAATCTGAATATGCTAAATTTGTTAAAATATAGTATATATATATATATATATATATATATATATTTATTTGCAAAATTGATTTAATTTTTTTATTGAATTTTATGTTCAGAAATATATCGTTTGTACGAAATCGCACCCTTATAATGATTTTCCTTAGTACGTATAAAAATATATTTTTAAAGTTATAAAAAGTATTCTACATGCTTTTCTTAGATTTTTAATAAACTATCAAATGTGAACAAAATAATTTTTTATCTACATCCAAATTTAGTTTTTTGCAAAATTTATTACCTACATTTATTTAATGGCAACATTTAGCGAGATATAGTATTTCGCATGATAAATTTCTTTGGTATCGTATGCAAATATATTTTCAAAGGAATGAAAAATTTATTGACTTTTTTTATTAATTTTTAATAACGTCTAAGTATATAATTCAAACGAAATAAGTTTGTGGTTATACTTACATTTATTTGTATTTAAAATTTGTTCAAAGTTTGACCAAAACCTGTATTTTTAGTCTAGTACAATAATGCTCTCTGAAGATTTTGATCTATATATATAGAAGTATGTTTGTAAAGTTATAAAAACTTTACATGGTTTTCTTAGATCAACATTTTTTATTAACGTTCACGTATGTAATTCAAACTAATTGAAATTTTGTTTACACCTACATTTATTTAGTTGCAATATGCATTTAATCTTTATTATATCTTTTATACGAAATAGATTTGAAATCTCTCACAAGCATTTTTTAGATTAATACTTTTATTAATGTTCAAGTATATTGCGCTAACGAAATAAGTTTTCGATGACACTTATATTTATTTTATTGCAAAGTGTATTTGAAAATGTGTTTTTTGTCGTTTGCAAGATTGTACTCTAATGATTTTAATCAGTTTTTAAAATTAATTTGGGAAGTTATGAAAAAGTTTTCACAAGCCTTTCTCAGCTTAGTATTATTTTAATTTAATGTCCTAGTATGTAATGTGACCAGAATAAGTGTGTGAATGCCTACATTTATTTTATTGTAAAACTTTGCTTGAAAATGCATTTTTCATTTTGAATTTATTTTTTGAACTTGATTTTGATTTTATTCAAGACGCTACAAAAAGATATTTTTAAAGTAATATATTTTTGTCATATGAAAATGTATGGGAGATTAATTACGGTTGTGCCAGAGTACTGTAGTGGCAGTCGTCTTAACGGCCAAACTATACTGACTTTGAGATAGGATCCAAAGAGAGAAAGATGATGTATTATTGCTGGAACAATTTGCCATTATTGTTTTCAGTCAGTGCCTATATTTGATATATATTGTTTTTTATCTATTTTTATGCCTGTATTTTTTAATGAACTCTAAATTTGAATAACATCAATTTTATGTATGCAGTTAAACAAAAATTTACTTCATAAACTTCAACAAACTATAGTCTTTATTTACTCTCTTTTTAACCGCAGGTGAACAATTCTCGAGTCTTCGGTGTCGAATTCGATCAATTCACTAGTAAAGAAACATTCTACGACCGTGATAAGAAAACTCTTCTGACTACTTCATTTGACCCCGCTGGTTTGCCCAAATTTTACCAGCCGTCCGATGGCCGAGCGCCTCTGAACATCACTTACGATCGATTCAACCGAATCGAAGGTTGGCACTGGGGTCCAGCAGAAGAGCATTATACCTACGACAGGAGAGGTTTTTTGGCTGAAGTTACAAGTCCCCAAGATGGAACTAAATCATATACATACAATGATTGGAATTTGGTTTCTGAAATTACTTTGGCCAGTCAAAGGAGATTCTTGTTTAGCTACGATGGTGATGGGGGTTTGAGGCATGTTACTTTACCCAGTGGGACGAAGCATTCTTTCAGTCTTCAACCATCGATAGGTAAATAGCCATTTTGCACATAAAACATATATAGTTATAAATTTAAACAATTTTAATTGCTAATTCTAAATGCGAATTAACGCAAGCAAGAACTATCTTCGCTATTCTATTTTTATGGCTTTATAAAATAAACAATTAAAAACTAACTTAAAATATTATTATTGCATTGTTATAATTTTTATAGTTGCATGATTAGTAACAATAACAATATCTTTGAATTGATTTTTTGAATTCACATGACTATTTATATTCATTATCCGCAAACAACTTGTTTTTACTGGATAACATTTAAAATTTATAAAAGCACAAAATTTGAAATTTATAAAAGCAAAAACATGACCCGACTCTTCATCGTAAACTATCTGGAACACTTTGATTCTAGGAGTTTGGAATTTTACTTTTCAAATCCATATGCCGTAAACAATTTGATTTTACGAGAGAACAATTTTCATTCATCAAACACTAAATTTAGGTTCTGTTTTACATAATATGAAATTAAATTATATCAATTTGTGTGATTTTGGTTAGCAACATTCCAATTATTATGCTAAGTAATAAAGATTGGCGGTATATACCCGTTTTTTATCACTTGCATGTATTTTAATTTAACTTTTTGCACTCATATTCTTTAAACAATTTATGAAATTCATTTTTTCATTAATCTCTCATATATTTTGCATAAACAACTATTTAAATTTGATTTTTTTATTGATATAATATACATTTTTACAAATCTCAGCCTGACAGGGTTGCTTGAATATTTTTTTCGTTTACATTGTTTATCTATTGTTCATTCGTCATCAGCCTTTCATTAATAACACAATATCATTTAATTTATTATTTTCCGAGCTAATCCATCAAACCATTAAAATTATCACATAATTTACTAGACATCATAATATTTTATTCCAAAGTTTTTTTCTTTTAATGCACTTGGCTGCAATTCGCTCTTCTTTATTGCATTCATTTCCGGTCCACACTCCACTATTGCACACACTACTCAGGCGCTCTTACTTTGGGTGCAATTACTTCCGGTGCATTTACAACTGGTGCAATTACCGCCGGTGCACTTACAACTGGTGCAATTACTTCCGGTGCACTTAAAACTGGTTCACTTCTGGTACAATTATTTCCGGTGCACTTTTCGCCAATGCACTATACCTAATTCTGGTGTAATAGCTAATAACTCGCTGCTTGATATACTCTCTTATTGTTGGTCGCCTAGATCTAGTTAATCAAATCTGTCAGTGAAAGAGACATCATACTTTAATTACTTACTTAAGTAGTCACCTTGCAAATTTTTCAAATTTCTCTGGTTATTATTAATCCACTTGATTAATAAATACGTTCACAACAATTATTGAAGTCACTCATTTCGATAAGTTTCAACAAAACTTGCACTATGCTAGTTATTGTCTCTGATTCTATCTGTTGATATCTCAATTCAGATTCTGATAATCCATCCAGATAATTTATGTCTCTCGGAAGTTCATTCCCTCTGTTGTTTTATGTAATAATTTTTATATTGTCTTGTGCAATGCTCATAACATCTTGATTTATATCTATTATTGCACTCGGTTTTGTTTAATTTAGTCTGCATTCTTCAATTTTTATCATATTATTTAATGGAAGTTTGATTCATTTTGTAAACATTTGATAGGTGTTGAATATGGAAGATTTTATGGTATTTTTATAGCTTAATTTACGATTCAATGAATGTCGGTTGAATGAGCTTTTGGGCATGATATGAGCTTTCAGGATTAGTATCTTACTATTTTTCGATGGTTCGGATCCTCTTTAAAGCATCCATTAATGTCGCTATCTTTCATTTTATCTTTGACTTTTATATTCACCATTTTTAAATCATTTGATTCTAACTGAATTATTCATTTATTGCCATGTTCTTGACAATTATGACAAACCATGATTTTAAAAATTAATAACATGTCTTATGCGAAGTAATAGACGTGACGATATAAGTCATATTTTTATCTGTACTTTAACTTTTAATTTTTGCTAACAATTTTAATATTGAAATTTTTAATTAGACGTTTTTAACCCATTGTATGGGAATCACTGCTGCGGACGTGACTGTAGTAAGATACTTCCAAATTGATATTTTTTACTGTAAATCATAGGGCGCGTAAAATAATAGTATCCCTTTTGAATGCTGTTTATTGTGCATATATTATTCGGCGTATATTACGGGAAACTGCATCATATGAACAGTTTCCGTTACCAGTGGTAAAAATTCTATAATAATTTTTGAATGCTTCTTGAAATTTTATATGCTTCTCATTTTTATATCCTATATCCTTTTTTATCTTCTTTATCTTCTTGTATCTTCAATGATAGTGCTCCACATTGAATATTTATATTTAGTTATTGGATTGAGAGGAAATAAGTAATATAAATTTGTTTTGCTTCGAAAATTTATTTCTCTGGGTTACAAGGCTCACACCGTTCAATTAGTAATATTACGTTTCGAAGAATTATTTCTAAGCTTTCTGAAAAAAGATTTTTATGTGTAAATATTACGAGTTACGGAAGTAATAGCAATATTAGTGCTAGGATCGGTGGTACTTATTATTATTTAGTAGAAAAGTATCAGTTGTAGAGGCAGTAAAAATATAAAAAAATGATTTTTTATGAAATGTAATAAAATATGCCGCTATTGTTTTCAGATGTATTTTTATACATGATTAAAATTCATCGCATTTCATATCTATCATGCTTTGGTTGATTCACATTATTTTAATGTTTCAATATAACTAACGTTAATAAAGAAAATGAAGTTTTAGTATATGTATAGACATATTTAAATTAGAGATTAAAGTCAATTTAAATTATTAAAATTCGAAATATGTTCAGAACACATTTTTCAAAAATGCATTCGTAACTCTTAGAGCTTGAGAAAATATATGAACCCAACATATATGTTCTATTTTTTTTTATATATATTTTCATTTTGTGTTTAGCAAAAATTTCAAATTACCAGTATCTGGTAATATTATAACCACGTAATTTTTCATTTAATTTCAGAATTAAATTATTCTATTGGCTTAAAAACTAAAATCTTTGCCACATAATATCCAATATGTCTCTTTTTTATTTAATTAATCCATAATTATATAACATTTTGAACTTTACAATTCTATCGTAATATTTGTTTCTGCAATATTTATATCTGTTTCAAACTTGATTAACGTGGAATTTAAGATTTCAATCATATCATTATTTATGTAGCATATAATATTTTCTGATTTTAATTTTATAACATCATTTTATCGCTTTCAAATATATATCACAATGTGAGATTATTAAGTCATTTTCTAAATTTCTGAACTTTACAATACCATTGTGATATTTGTTTCTGCAATATTTATATCTATTTCAAACTTGGTTAGCATGAAATTTAAGATTTCAATCATGTCATTATTTATGTAGCATATATTGTTTTCTGGCTTTAATTTTATAACATCATTTAATCGCTTTCAAATATATATTACAACGCGAGAGTTTTTAATCTAAATTTCCGAACTTTACAATTCTATCGTGATATTTGTTTCTTTATTATCGTGATTTATATCTGTTTCAAAATTGGTTATCATGCAAATTTAAGATTTCAATCATATCATTATTTATGTAGCATATATTATTTTCTGGTTTTAATTTTATAACATCATTTAATAGGTTTCAAATATATATCACAATACGGGATTTTTGCGTCATTTTCTATTTTTAATGATGATTTTTAACACTTATACTTCTACTTTTATATAAGTATGAGTCTGCTATTATTATCAATATTAATGATTCGATTATATTAAATGAGCGTAGTATTCAATCCACATTTACATTTTGTAGATTTTGTGAAATAATTATCCTATACAATAACTTGTGCATTCTTATTTTTTTATATTGTACTTTTATGGAATTTTATACTTTATTGTATTTTATGAAAATACTAAAGAGTGTTTTTATGAAACACATAACACTAATGCTAAATACAAGATCACTAAAAATAATACTAATAACAAGTCTTGATTAAATTATTTTGATAATTTTTTTATAAACATATTGAAAATAATAAAATTTTATTTAATTCTAAGTGTTTTCAACTTGTCAAATTTCAAAATTGATATTGATCATTTAAAAATTAAGCAATAAAGATTTATTGTTGCCATTTTTAAATAGCATATGTAAAATTGCGTTGTTCGATTTTTTTAAGCGAAAGCACTTTGAATTAGTGTCGAATTTTAAAATAATTTTCTTTAATTTTATGTTGATTTGTATATCTGAATGACAGTAATTCCCATTGCTGCAATATAAGATATTTGTTTCAAACTAATAAATTGTAATGCTTGTTTTAATTATTATTCATAAACATAATGAAAATGTCATACTTTTATTGATCCAGAGTTATGTGTAATCTTAAACTTTTATAATTTATAGTAATCACGCATTCGTTTAGAAAATTATTCAGCAAAAAATATGATTGATTGAATACTAAAACAAATTATGCATAGCATATTACAATTTTCAGTTTATTCGTTTTGTAGTTTTCCGATTTTACATTCAAAATCGTGTCATAATTTGCAGCAATATTTATTGATATCGAATTTTGAATTTATTTGCTTTACTTTTAATTTTGGAAATTTGTAGATCTGGATAGCATAGGGTAGAGGGGTTTCACCACCGATATCTCAAAAACAAGTTTATAATTTTATAACAATATTTGAAAGTAGAGGTAAAAAGATATATTAGCCCTGACCTTTATTTTTACAAAGTTATTATCGGCACATAAACTGCAATCATACATAATTTACTACAAACTTTGCTAAAGGATCTGAATAAATTTTGCATTCAGATAATAAACTCAAGTACACTTAATATAATATGATTACAATCAAATATAATGTTTAAAAATCTTTAACAGAAGTATTTACTTTCGTTGTTAGGTTTTTTGGTTGTGAATTTTTGAGTATGCGTAACTGAATTGTTTTATTAGATGTATTATTAATTTTAAGTTAGATTCAACAGTTTTTTTATATAACCTCTCTTTTTTTATAAAAAAAACTTTATTTGTAAAGATCTTTTTGTCGTCGTTTTGTGGGACACAAAATGTATTCGAATTTTCCTGTATTTTTAAATATTTAGCAGAATTTTTGAAATATTATCAGAGTTTAGTTGAAAGCCTTTTCACCCGCGGACCTTTAGGGGTTTCCTCTCTACCCTATTTTAGAATCATATTATTTTATCAATAATTTATTATGTGCACAATATTTACTACAAACTTTGCTAAAGGATCTGAATAAATTTCGCATTCAGATAAACTCAAGTACAACTTTTAGTATGAAGATTATTATCAAATTATAAATATTTTTGTTATGGATCATTGCGTGTAGTTTACATGGTTTTCAAAAATAGGTATAAAATATTTTATTTAACATTTTGATCAATTTTACTTTATTGTTGACATGCATAATATCTATGAATGAAAGCATAGTTCAACATTCAATAAATATATAAAATATTATTTAATACCAGGTTTCCTACGATTCACATACACACCTCCTGGTGCATCTCGATGTTACACTCGGCATTACTCGCACTCCGGAGCCTTGCTTCAGACTGTTTTTCCTGGTGATGGAGCCCGAGTTCTTTACCGGTACCATGCTTCCGGAAAATTGGCCGAACTCTTACATGGTGACGGCAGAAGTGAATTTTCTTATTCGCCTGTTAGTGGAGCACCCAGCTCAGTTCTACATCGAGACACAGAATTAGAATATCGTTGGGATTATAGATATGCTGCTGGACTTTTAGTAGAAGAAAGGTAAGTTGCTTAACACTAAACCAACCTACCGACGCCGGTCAAATTGACCGTTTCAAACTTTGTGTATAACTTAAATATTTTTAAACGTTAAAATATAATTTTCAAACTATGACAATTCTTAGAGTATACTAATAATATTATCTTCACTGGTTTTGTATTTTTCAACAAAAATTACGTGACCTGACTGCCGCGATCGGTTAATTTAACCGGTGGACAATAATGTTATTTGGGCAGTTGTTTCCGTCAAAATGTATCCAAATATTATACAAATTTGGATTTATTTAAAACATACCAAATGGACGAGAAGAGAAAAGTACTGGATGGTGTGTGAAGTTGATAATACATTTATAATAAATGAAGAGACAAAAAGAAAAATTGTTCAATTCTTCAGTGGATAGTTCGTTGTTCTTGTGTTGATAAATTCGTTCACAAAGTTTGAACAAAATTATTTTTTAGTAAATTATTAATTAGAATAAATCAATTTTCATTAATCAATGGCTCATATAGATAGTTCATTGTTCTAATACTGTTAAATTTGTTCACAAATTTTGAAGACATTTGTATAAATCAAATTTCATTAATTTCATGTTTAATAAAAGTAAACCGAAAAAATGCTTCTCCCGAGATTCAAACATAATAGCAATAGGAGAAAGCAGCAAAAGTGTACCGAAAACTATAATATATAAATATTAGATTTTGTATTAGTACATTATTTGTTGAAAATGTAGCAAACCAGATGGCTAAGAAATGTAACATTAAATCGAAAATTTTTACATGGTAACTTTAGGTATATTTTATCATTTTGAACATAGCTGGATAAGTGCATAAATTGTGTAGAGGAGCATTTTTAGGCACAAATTTTTGTTTCAGTTAATTTTCTAACTCGAAAATCAAATTGTTGTCAACGCGTTCGGTTTTTTGTGGACCAAAATAAAATTAAATAGAATCAAATAAAATTTTATAACAGTGACGATACAACAATTATATTCGTGTTTAATTTATAGCCTAATTATGTACACATATGGCGTTCGGTACAAATTTTTAATTTTATTTGCATTTTTTATTATAATTTCTTTAGAAATTATATGAAAATAAATGTAGAAGAAACTACATGAATATTTCTTTATTTCATATACACTAAACAAACAATCTTTATCTGAATGAATTAATAATATAGATAACTTTTACATAGTAGGTCAATTTAACCGTGCGATAGGTATAGTTATACATGAATTGTCGGTCGGTTTAGTGTTAAATTGACCAAATATTTAATTTTGTTTGAAAATAATTGCAAAATATTATTTTTGGCACTATGGAATTTAATAGTTAAAACAATTTTGTTTTGCAATACATTTTTAACGTTGCTATATCAAAATATTATTGATTTTCAACGCGATACGCATTTTGCAAGCAAAACGTAAGGCTTTATTGAAACCTGTAACCTTTGATTACAGGCAAATTAGATACTATTTCTAATATTAAATAAACTTAATACTTAAATTCTACAATAATTTAATATATTTCATGAAAATGGAAATACGAACGATTCCAAGCAAAATGCCTAGAAACTAATAATAATATAATATCGATTAGGCAATAATATGGATACGCTTGTCGTTGCATGAAATTTACATGCATAAACTTATTTTAATTAGTTTTTTTGGATATATTAGTTTTTTTTATATATATAAAGTAAAATGTCTTAATACTTTTGCTTATTAACTTTTTAAATTGTATTTAAAGTTCAAGTTCTAAAACATATATTTTATTATATAACGTGGATATTATATATATATTGTCATTGATACGTCAGTTTGGTACCCTTAGGTATTACTGTTACATTTTCAGTCATATAACATTTTGAATTTGAATACAATAATATACGTGTGATAAAAAGAAATAGTTTAGTCTTTAAAAAAATGCAAAAACATTGTATGTTTCAATTGTCGCTTTGGTTTGATCTGGATGCGTGTTTGCCATACTAACTATTTTGCTTGGAAATTTTTATAGCTCTTTGAAATTATTATTTTTGTGATCTCTATATTTGAGATAAAAATTATCAATAAGCTTCTTGATATAGTCGTAAACTGTTGGTTTATCATATACTATGTATTTTCATAATATAGTGAGTTATCACTGGGTTTCTCGATTTGTTAGTACTAGATTTACAATTAGTGAAACATGCTTTTTTGTACATATACTTTTGCTATGATAAATTTGAACGAGACAAACATTTTGTTTTTTTTTTAGATTTTTGTCTATTTTACTATAAAATTATTATAATATTTTTTAAATTAATTCAAGCTTCATTTTAGTCAAAAAGTCGATTGAAAATTTGGAAAAAAAAAAATTAACAAATACACTTTTATGAAAATAATACATGATTGAATATAATAGAGGATACTTGGAATTTAAAAGTGTACATGTAAGTCACATTTTGTAGAACATTCGACGACAAAGAATCATTAAGAGCAAACCTTCAAACGAATATATTTTAAAGAATAGTACAACATATTTGATTAATTTAACTGTGTTTTGGTATCAACTTTTTCTTATACTTTGTGTTTAGTTTAAGAAATTTTAGAAAAAGTTTTATATTTGTTTATAAATTTTTGTTTAAAATTAAAATATTTGTATTGCTCAGTTATGGATATAATCAAAATGATCTTAATCGCCACTATTAAAACACCCA